TACAAATGGGTTCAACAGAAAATGTGATTCCACCTGTCTTTCTGTCCTCGGTATTTAACGTACAACCAGGTGCACAGAAAGAACTGAGTGAATGGACGCATGCGTTAGAGGCCATCCCTTTGCTTTCTGAACTCTCCTACATTGCTTATTTACTTATGAACTACCCCGCTCACACTGAAAGTATTAGACACTAAATTCGCACGCATAATTGTTCCTTTCGTTAACAATCCAGAGAAAGAACTCTAAGCTTCCTTATAAATAAAGATTGGAAGGCATTTTGGACCACCTGGGTATCTGAGTATTTCTGCCTCTTCTGGCGCCCTCTGGTGCTTGATATCTGCAGTTACTCCCGAGCAGCTGAGGCAGAGCTATCTGAATGTGTTTACTGGGTATTGGCAGGAGCATGGGAGCTTACACACAGAGAGCACGCCCTGGAGAGCTAGCTTTTCCTGCCTGAATGCCAGTTACTACTCAGTGTCATGTCAAAACATGTCAAAACTGTGATGACTTCCGTAGCCCTGGTCTTTCCCTCATCTGTCTCAATTCCCTTCTGTTCCTTTCTTGCTGTACAACTTGTAAATTGGATATTGGATTTTGTCTACTGTGTTTCCAAAAAGACCGATCTCTCTGTCTCTGTCTCTGTCTCTGTCTCTGTCTCTCTCTCTCTCTCTCTCCCTCTCTCTGTCTCTCTCTCTCTCTCTCTCTCTCTCTCTCTCTCTCTCTCTCTCTCTCTGCCTCTCTCTCCCCTCCATTCTTCTCTCCCGCTCTCCTTCTGTCTTCTTAATTCTCTTCAAAAGCTACAAGTGTTAAATCAGTAATATATAAAGTTCTAAACAGAACTGTGTATCGTTGCGCGTTTTTTATATTTCTTTTTAAGTGGAAGACTTAAAGCCCAGTTTTCTTCCAGTCACCATGCACTCTCCTTAAGCAGAAGACTCTTTCTTTCAGGTTACTATGAGGAAATAGATCCCAATGACTTCCCCTCCTGTAGTGAAGCTCTTATTTAACTGAGTAGCAAACGCCTCTCAGCGGCTTTAAAAGCAGCTGGTCCTGGGCTGGAGAGATGGCTCAATGATAAAGAGTACATAATACTCTCCAAGCAGAGTGTATCAGACAGCTCATAACTGCCTGTAACTCCAGCTCTGTGGAATCTAATGCCCTCTTTTGGCTCCTTTCAGGCATCCAAAAACACATGTCCTGCACACAGAGAGAGACACACAAACATTTTGGAAACAGAAGACAAATAACAACAAACCCTTACTGATCCTGAGCTGGTCAGTCAAGGGCAAGCTCAGGAAACTTTATTTCTAAAGTTTCATTTGTCATTATTTTCCTAAAGAGGTGGCACTTTAGGAAAATACACGACAGAGATGCACCCTATCATGGGAGGTGACTTCATGAAGCTACATCATGGAGTCCTTCTTGAGACGAACTTGGAGTGGCCAGAACAGAAACCCCCGCTGTGTGCTTCAGCATCCAAGTGCAGTGACATTGCTAATGGCCATTCTCTGCTTCTGATGAACCACAGAATGGATGCTTTATGGACCCCTCTCATGAGGACCCAGTGGAAGCTCTGAGGCTTAGGCCATTGTCATCATTCATCCACAAATGGGAAACCCAACATTAGAGAGGCGATGGATCATGTCATGAGTGAGACCTTAGTCACACAGCTTGAAAGTGATCCTGGGAAAGGCAGACTCAAAATGGGTATCCGCATGTACCACAGTGTAGAGCTCTGGCTAAAGGGACGACGGGGGAGGGGCTGTTTGACCTCTAAAGACTGATGATGATGCCAAATGGGTGATGTCTGAAATGGTGCACACACCCTGGGAGAGCGATGAGAACATATCCACGGCGAGATCGCAGTGAAATGTTCAAATTCTTGTTTATAACAGAAAAAAAATGGAAGCAAATCTGTTTACAAGCAGGGTATGGGTTAATCTAGTCTCCTGGAATAGTGGGACACAACCACAGTATTCATTTCTCCTATTTAACCCCAAAGGACAGAAAAGACAGGCAGGTATGATTTTACTAAAGTCCAACTTGGTGAAACTAATGAGTTTATTGGAGTGGGGGTTATAGAACTCAGGTGTAGAGTTACTTGCAGGAGCGAGGGTGAATCCCCATAGCAAAATCACTACAGAGATGCACCCTATCATGGGAGGTGACCTCATGAAGTTACATCACGGAGTCCCTCTCGAGACTAACCTTTTACTCTGCATGTAGTGTAGAATCCTAAGATTCCTTGTAGCCGTGATCAGGGAAGGGAAGAAAGGTCTTATGACTTTTAAAACATCTGCTGGGGAGTGTTAATATCCTCATTAATCTTATCTTTACCCTAGACCTTGCTACCACTGTGTTGCTGTGTTCTAGTTGCTATGGCTACCAGGGGAAAGTCAAGAATGGCAGGAAGAGAGAGCACCATAGAACAGCTACTCGGAAAGAAATATTCAGGGCTGACTGACTCACGTGTAACAGGACACAGTTCCAGGGCCACAAAAAATGAACTCAAGTTCAACAAAGATGGGTCTAAGGCACACTTTTAAATATATGTGTTTTGAAATATTTTTATTACACTTATTTATTGGAAGGGGTGGACATGTAGTGGCAAGATATGGAGGTCAGAGGACAACTTGCCATTGTCAGTTCTCTCCTTCAGCATTGAAAGGCTTGTGCTTTTGCATATGGAACCCTCTCGACAGTCTTACATGTTTTTTGTTGCTGTTGTTTTTTGAGACCAGGTTTCTCTATGGAAGTCTAGCTGTCCTGGAGCTTGCTCTGAAGACCAGGATGGTCTCAAACTCACAGAGATCTCCTGCCTCTGTCTTCTGTGTGCTGGGACTAAAAGCCTGTGCCACCATGCTGGGCTATATGTTTTTTTTTTTAAAAAAAGATGTATTTATTCATTTTATGTATTGCTGTCTTCATGCATACCAGAAGAGGGCATCAGATCCCATTACAGATGGTTGCGAACCACCATGTGGTTGCTGGGAATTGAACTCAGGACCTTTGGAAGATCAGTCAGTGCTCTGTAACACTGAGTCATCTCTCCAGATATTAATTTTTTTAATGAAGGAAGTGGCCCATGAAGTGAATAAGGCTCGTGGAGTTTATTATACAGCCCTATAAACAGCGATGGATATTAAATCCATAAACTAGATAAAACAAACAAAGCAACCCCCCCAACCCTAAGATACAAGTGTAGGTGCCCTGTGATTCTTGAGCAAGCAAAACTAATCAGACTAGAAAGTTCTAGCCTCTCAGTGAAGAGGGTTCTCCAAAGTAGAAGAACAAAGGCATGTTCTGGGTAACACGCATTGGGCTGTGTACTTAGCCATGGTATACAATGTTCTAGAATCATGACCTGAACCTTTAGGACCCAAGCATTTTGTTTTAAGTATACTACGTCACAATTTTGAAAAAGAAAGAATGAGCTTGCTGCAGTCAGCAATCTCTGTAAGGGACTTAAAACATGGGTCCTCCATGTGAGCTGATAAGATCTGAGGGTGTGTTTTCATATGCCAGTCTCTGAGAAGGTGCATGGCAGAGCCTATACATTCTGACAGGATAGGCAGAATAAACAGGAAGCCCTCAGTACAGCCTCTGCAAACAGGCAGCATGCAGTTAAGGCAGGCAAACCAGGGCAGAGGCTCACAGGGCCATCCATCAGCCTAAGCTCCCTGTCCTTGTCTAACTGGGCTCCACCCCTAGTCTTCATTGCATCTTTTTATTGTTCACCAGAGTGAAAAAACCTGTTAGGAAGTATTTGCATGCCACACCTAGGCCGGATTTTCATATAATAATACCCAACCAGCAAGGCTCAGGAAAGTACATTTCATTTGACCTCTAGATTGAGCGATGGAACATCACGATCACAGCCCATCCTTTTTTGCTCAGGACCATCAGGTTCTTGGGTCTGGGAGAGACTGAGTTAGATCAGGCAAACCCACATCATGGAAGGAGAGAACTGAATCCTGCAAGGGGCCCTCTGACCTTCATACACCCATCATGATACCTGTAGACACACACACACACACACACACACACACACACACACAAATAAATAAATACATGCACTTTTTAAAAAAATCTCAGAGTCATATCATTCTAATCTTTATGCATCCAAAAATCCAGGGCTCCCCCAGTGTGGATAGCTGTGTTCTAACCATCAATCCTGTTGTGAATTGAACATCAAACCACAGGATCGGGTTTGGAAACTCTTCCTGTCCCAACCATCCAGAAGGGGGCCAGGATCCGGGCAGAGAGATCAACCTGAAAACTAGTTAAAGGAGTCAGCTTGACTTCTGGCTTGAGGGAATAGGATATGTGTCCTTAAAGAGGCAAGAAATAGTTTTGTTTTTCCTAGTGTTTAAATGGAGCTAGACTTTTTTTTTTTTAAATGTTTCACTTTACTGACAATTTCATATATTTTGATCTTACCCCACACAAGCCTCTCCCAGCTCTTGAGACAGAAGCTCATATATTTCAGGGTGTCCTAGAACTCAGAACACACTATGTTTCCAAGGAGGATCATACTTGCTGGTATTGCATGCTTGTGCCACCACATCCAACGTCATCCATGTATGCCAGGCAAGCACTTGATTAACTGAGCTACATGCTACCTCCCCAGCCTGAGAAGGGGCTCACTTTAAACGTGCGAGGTGAGATGGTGCCTTCCAATACGTGATGGAAATTATACTTCGGGGACCAAGGGTAAAGTCTGGGATGCCTTTTAGCTAAAACCTGATAGCTCTAGCCATAGATGGTTAGGAAGAACGCGGTTGCAAGGAAGGTTATGAGGGAGGGGGAGAAGATCTGTGCTGGGGTGAACCACAACCCCACGCCCCCTGGACCGCTGTAGTTCAGTCCCCGGGGAGTGGTTCGAGCCCTGGGTGCGGCTCCGGCGCAGGGGCGGGTCCCAGGCTCAGCTCCGGCCCCCGGTGGGGCGGGGCCGCGAGCACGCTGTCACCCGGAAGACGCCGCGGCGGGTAGGCTCCGGCTGGACTTCTTGGGGGATCCTTGCCAGGAGGGGAGACAGCGGGGCTGCAGGCGGAGCGATGCTCGGTCCTACGATGCTGGGCGCGGTGGTAGCCTCGCTGGTGGCTTCAATGCTCCTGTTGCAGCGTGGGGACGAGGGGTCCGGGGCTGCCCCCAGGTAACCCCGGGTAGGGAATGCAGCCGGGCCCTGCAGCCCTGCCCAGGCGGGTCCGGTTACCGTGAGCTGGGAGGCCTGGTGATGTAGAGACACCTGTGAGGTGCCCGGATTGGCCACCGCCCCTGGCTGTGTGACTCAGCACTTCCCCAGGGTTGGGACTGTGTAGAGTTAGTCTGTTCTGTCCAACAGTTAACAACCCTTGTTCCCCAGGGTAAAGAGTGTCCCCTAGCACTCTGAGACAGTACCCGTGGGTGTTGTTTCCCCAGCATGGCGGACAAGGAAACACTGCTGAAGCTTCGGGAAGACTTCAAGATGCAGAATAAATCTGTCTTTATTTTGGGTGCCAGCGGGGAAACCGGCAAAGTACTTTTAAAAGAAATCCTGGGACAGAACCTGTTTTCCAAAGTAACGCTCATTGGCAGGAGGAAGCTAACATTCGAGGAGGAAGCTTATAAAAATGTGGTGGGTATTTGAGCTGGGGCTAAAAGGGAATGTAGCCGAAATCATTTTGCTGAGGGGAAGGTGTCCGTATCCAAAGGCTGACCGTTGCCAGGTGGTGGTAGAGACGGACAAATGATCAAAATTGGGCACGATTGATCTAGAAGAGCCCTTCCATCAATCCCTGGGTTGTGCCTGGCTTGTAGGCCTGTCTTTTATACTAATAGCATCCTGCATTGCCGTCTTGTGTTCGGAACAAGACTGGAATCGGGTATGATAGAAAAAGGCGGTGTTTGTAGTTCCTAGAGCGCACTGCTTGTACATTTTGCCTACCTGTGTGTTTCACAACGTCAGTATGGAAAAGTGTGACAAGAACTTTTCTCCCAGATTTCTCCCAACCAAGAATCCATCCCCGCATAACTCCCCAGACTTGTGTGTTTTTAAACACATACTGCCTTTCTTGTAAGTTACAGCACATGGTAATGCCAGACTTCCATCTGGTAATAATGCCCAAGTATCTTAAATTGGAGCGTCGTGGACATTCTGTTCTTCAGTAAACAAGAGTTACCTAGCAACTGCAGCAAACTAAACAGTGTAGTGTGCTGCCGGGACTTCAAGGCAGTCTCCAATGGGCCCTGAGTTTTGCTGGTGTGCACACTTGCAAATACACGTCTTTGATTTCCACAATTTCCTGGTTGTTTTGTTTTACAAATGCCTGGTGCACCAGAACTGGCTGATTAAAATAGACATCTCTGCTTGGGCTCGGGTGGGCGCTGGGTGAACTCCATAGTCTGGTTTCCTGAGCCCTGTGGAAATTCCTGGCAAGTGGAGCCTAAGACTGTAGTTTTCTTTGAGAGCAGAGTCGTGGTGGCACTCCTCTTAACCAGGCCGTATTTAATAATTTAATTTAATTTTTCTTTAGTATAGTATATACCATGCCAGGAAAAATCTTTCAGTAGGAACTGAAGGTAGTGACAGCCCAAGATTTCATCTGAACTCCTGGGTGATGGAACACTGCACGTTTGATGTCAATCCTACACATTTAGTTAGGTTTGAGATAGTGTTTCTCTAACTAGGGTAGGCTGGCCTTGAACTCAGGTCCCCGGCCTCTGTTTCTGCCACTGGCACCTCTCTTAGCTTGCCAGTTTCAGCGGACATTAGAAATACCATAGAGGAGAACACATGGGTTAGGGATGCAGCTCAGCTGCTAGAGTGCTCGCTCGCTTAGCGCACTTGCGAGGTAGAAGCAGGACAACGAAGCTCCAGGTCAGCCTCAGTTATGTGGAAACTGGAAAGCAGTCTGGCCTTGAGAGAAAGAATGAGAAGGAGGGAGGGAGGGAGGGAAATACTGAGGAGGGAGCTGTACAGCTGCAGAGGCTGACTCACAGGTATTGGCAAGAGTCCTAAGAAAGTGCCTTTGTCTCAGGTTCCTTCTGGCTCTTTCTAATGAGGGTAGTTCTTGAGTTGAAGATTAGCACCTAGACATTACAGCTGAACAAAACTGAGACATTCATATGATCAGCAGTTACCACAGGCTGGGTTAGATGTCCATCACCGGCAGAGTGGCTCACAACCATCTGTTAATTCCAGGTCCAGGGAATCCAGTGCCCTCCTCTGGGCCCCTCTGACAGCATGTACATGACAGAGTGCCCATACACATAAAACAAACTTAAAAAAAGTGAGAACAATAAAAGCTCTGCCACAGTGTATATCTGTATGTACCAGGCCTAAGACTTGAAGTTGGATCTGCTTTGCGATTCTAATTACCATTTTGTCTCTACATCCTACCCAAATGCTTTCCTTCCTGGTAAAGTATAGAAGGATATCTTTGTTTTCCCAAAGGTAAGGTACACATGACCTTGAGATTTGAAATCTGACTCACTCTACTGCAGTTACATGTTCTGTGGCCATACATGTGAATCACTGATTATCAGCTCTGATGACGTTTTTTTTCATTGCTTGGTTCCCAACCCAGGGCCTCACCTGTATCTTGGAAGCACTTGGCCACTGAGTGGCCATCTACAGTCAACTCCAAATTAATTTCTTGGGGGGGGGTAGGAAAAGGGGAATTGGGCAAATTTGATGTCATGAGCTTATAGATTCCGATAATCATTTGTCATTTATTCTTTATATCTCAAAGTGTTTTGTCTCGTTTTTAAGTGTATGAAGTTCTATGCCATTGTGCTCTTCTTTGTCTAGAATCAAGAAGTGGTGGATTTTGAAAAGCTGGATGACTACGCTTCTGCCTTTCAAGGTCATGATGTTGGATTCTGTTGCCTGGGCACCACCAGAAGGAAAGCCGGAGCGGTGAGCAAAAATAAACCCCTTTCTCTTACTGGCCAGGACTTAGGGATCTCTCTCTTCCTTTTTTTCAGAGATTCACTTTATTTCTTTTATGTGAACCTGTGTAGAGGAAGAAGGGGGTTATGTCCACATGAGAATGCAGGTACCCACAGAGTTCAGAAGAGTTACAGGTGCTGGCGAGCTAGTACCGGGAACTGACTGTGGGTCCCCTGTAGAAGCACCCGGAGCTCTCAACTGCTGCGCCATCTCTACAACCTCAGGGATTCCTTTCTTGCTCACTCGTTTTCCTGGGGCGTACTGCAGTGCTTAAATGTAAAGACGTACTTAAGAGTCCATCTGCTGTTCTGTCTGTATTATACTTGGGATAGTTCAGATAGGACCGGCATCTCTACGTCATAGCCTCTGAGTTAAGGCTGAATGCCGGCTACATCACAAGAATTTACGTGATCCAGCCTACAGCAGACATTAGAATCGTCACATCATCCCCTGACTAAGGGAAGCAGCCAACAGTCTTTGGGCAAAAGCGGTTGTCTGGCTCATGCTGTGGGCAGCAAGCTTTATATTTCTTTCCATAATAAATGTCTTAGGCTTGAAGCATTTTCTCTCTCTTATTTGCTCCAACCTTCTTTCAAGCCGTCCTTTAAACTTGGGAGCTAGATCATCAGAACCCAGAGGCACGATTCAGTCAGCCCCCGTGATGACTTAGCCACCAGCAGTGATTCAGCCCAGGCATGACTCAGCCCTCCCTGACGCAAAACTGCTTTAATACCCATTTTATTTTCTCTTTAATGGTGTACTAAATTGAGTCAGCCCCTATCCAGAAGCTAGAGTTTACAGCATAGTTAAAAGTCATGGTTTATAATATAGATCCTGGGCAAACGTTTACATATCTTTTTCAGTTTAGATCTTGAATATGGCTTGTTCCTCTGGCAGGAGTTGCTTGCTGGAGTCCATATATCTATTAAATACGTAGGTCATTGATTCTGCTATAATGATTGTATTAGCTGTTTTTTCCATTAAACAATGACAATGTACCTGGCAAAGCAACTTAAGGAAGGTGAGGTTTGCTGCGACTTACAATCTGAAGGCCCAGTCCAGCTTGGTGAGGAAGACCTGAGGTGGGAACTCGAGGCAGCTGGTCAGCATATCTTTAGTCTGGAAATAGAAAGATGATGCCAGGGTCCAGTTCACTTTCTTCTTTCTGTTCAATGTAGAACCCCAGCTCATGGAATAGTGCCACCCACATTTAGGGTGGAGTTCCTACCTCAAACTAACCCAATCCAGAAACGCCTACAGACATGCCCAGAGGTTTGATTCCAGGTCAGGTCAAGTTGACAACATTAACTCTGCAGTGACTTACACTAGTTTTTGTTTTGTTTTTTTTGGTTGCTGTTGTTTTTTTAAAGATTTGATTTTTATCTTTTAAAGTGTGTGTGTGTGTGTGTGTGTGTGTGTGTGTGTGTGTGTGTGTGTGCTTGCACTCCAGTGCATGAGTCTAGGAACTAGATTACAGAGAAGTTTGCTTTCTGAAGAATTGCATTTCTTCCTCTAGAAGGGGTCCTGTTCCTGCTCAGGTAGTGAGGTCCTTTCTGTCCTGGGTCACTCATAATAAGCGAGTCCTCCAAAAGCACACTGCAGTTTTCTGCTTCAGGCTCAAGCCTGGGTTTGGGGGTGACTCAGCAAAGGGAACTGCTGCATTAAGCATAGGGTGAAGTAAATGTCATACGATATTGGGGGAAAATGTTAAATGTCTGCACTGAGGCTGTAGTTCTAACCAGAAGAAAATAGGTTTTTAATCAGGGTGGCTCCCACCTATCTCTTAGGCCACTCAGTGCCTTTTGTTTGTCTTTAAAATCAGCTTGAAAAGATAAAGGTAATTAATGACTACAAAGGGGCAAAGAGCAGCCAGGCAAATAGTCTCAGAACTGAGATAGTAGTGAAAGGATCAAGAGGCTATTGGCAGGGAAGTGAGGTGCTGCTGCTTCTAGCAACAACACCTGTGCTGTGTGTGTGCGTGTGTGTGTGTGTGTGTGTGTGTGTGTGTGTGTGTGTGGTGTGCATGTGCACTCAGATTTATGTATTAGGGTGCAGATGTGGAGGTCAAAGGACAATTTTTAGAAATCTCTCCCACCTTGTCTGCTGTGCTTCAAGCTAGCTGGCCTCCAGACTTCCAGGATATTCTCTTGTTTCTGCCTCCTATCTTGCCTTAGTAATACACTGCATACCGCTTCATCTGTTTTTTTTTGTTTTGTTTTGTTTTCCTGTAGGTTCTAGGTGTCAGACTCACATCCCCAGGTCTTTTAAGGCCTGGTGTGGTGGTATGTACCTGTATTCCCAGCACTTGAAGGACCAAGGAGTCCAAGGCTACATAGTAAGTGTGAGACCAGCCAGGAGCTTTGTGAGACCCTGTCTCCAAAGCAAAGAACAGAGACCTTAAAAAAAAAAAGGCTAATTTAGGTTCAGAGTTACACTGCCGTTTAGAGGTTTCAATAAATTAAATGGCTAGGAATCATAGTTCAGAGGAGATTGTGGCTTTCTAAGTGCATCCCTGCTTGGATTCTGGGTCACTAGTCCTCTTTGGAGAAGGACTAGCCAAGCGGTTAATCAGCTGGACACTGCAAAGCTGCTGGCAGGCCTCATCTCTTTCAGTAGTTGTTTGTTACTGGAATACTTTTTGCCTCAACAATCGGAGTCTTTAGTAGAAAAACTTGAAGAAGTGTTGGTTTCTGTTTCAGTGTTCAGATCCTCCGAGTAGCTGGCTAGTCCCCCTGTGAGCCTTTGTGGAATAGTCTCCAAAGATGCCCCTAATGAAGTAGCATTGGGTAAACAAGCATCTTGTGTGGCCTCTCAGCTTTTCGGATTAGAAGTCTAAGGCCAGGGTGTTATTGGGTGGTTCCTGGATGGAAGTGTTCTCTTCTAGGCGCTCCCTCTGTGTTCTGATGGTTGTCTTTACACAAGACCTTTCCTATGTGCATGTGTCTCTGTCCATATTGTCTTGTGTTATGAGGACACGAGTTGTTGACATTGCATGAGGAACCAGTTTGCTTAGTACAGCCTCATCATTACGAATTAACTCTGCAATGATTCTTTCTCCAAGTAAGATTACATGCTGAGGTACCAGGGCTAGGATCTAGACTATTCTTTAACCCATGGATTTCCATTAAAACTGATGCTAGGCAGACATCTTAGCTTTCTTCAGCTGTTTGGAAACCAGTTTCTTTCATCAGTGGCTGCTTAGATGCTACCTTCTTTCCACACTCACAGGCCACAGTTGTGTAGCTGGTGCAGTTGCTTTCTGACTTGGCTCTAATCCAGACAGGCTCGATAAGCATCTCTGAGGTTAGAAGCATGGAGTCTGTTTTGCAGGTTCCTTGGGAGATCTGAGACAGCTGGTCTTGCTTCCCTGTTGGATTTGCTATTGGGAGGCATGACACTAAATTCATCTTCTTTTGCTTTTCTAAGTGCTGTAGTTCTAGTAATCTTGCTTGGTCAAGTAAAGGCTGGGATCCCGTTGGAAAGCAAACATGCCTTGAATAGTAAAAGTCAAAGACACTGCTGGGAATAATGCAGTTCCCTTGTGTGCAGTATGAGAAGGATTTGGGTATCAGGTTTGGGTGGTTTCACCCCCTCATGTATTTCCCTATTAGCAGTGGACTCTTGCAGTCCAGATTTGTGGATACTGTCAAATTCTTGATCCTGTTAAAGTGATTAGTGCAGCCATTGCAGCATTTATTAGGCATCTGTAGAATCTCATGGCTTCTGATTCCAGTAATATACTCTGATAATCCAGCCTGGGTGTTGAATGCCACTTACCATCAATTTTTGTATGGCCTGTGAGCAACAGATGTTTTTAAGTGGCTGAAAATGTTATGCCACATGAAAACACAGTCAGTTCTAATTTTAGTTTCCATAGATAAAGTCTGTTTAGAACACAGCCAAGTTCATTATGCCTCATGCCATCTATAGCCACTTCTGTGCAGTAATGGCAGATCTCCGTAGGCGTTAGCAGGGCCCTGGTATTTGTTCCTGTTCCTTTTCAGGAGAAGATGCCCAGACCTGTTCGGAGCACCATTGTTTTATTTGGTGTTCCGGAGGAGGCTTGTGAAATGGTGAGGTCCTTGATAGTGCCAAGGACACAGATCACAGGTCCTCTGGGAAAACAGGCAGCTGTGTAGCCTTGAATATGTAGGTTAGTGTCTGCTGAGCACTCCTTGTCTAGCGCGCAGCTCCCTCTCACCTGCAGAGTGACTGAAATGAACGCAGTGATGGGCTCAGGAGTCCTCAGTGGCTGTTTGGCTTGAGTTTCTATGCCTTTTCTCTAAGAAAGAGCTGTTCTCATTTCTGTACATCAGATAGGGAGATGCCATCCAGGACACACACACACACACACACACACACACACACACACACACACACATTCTCTCTCTCTCTCTCACACACACACACACACACACACTCTCTCTCTCTCCCTCCCTCCCTCCTCCCCTCCTCCTCTCTCTCTCTCTCTCTCTGTCACACACATACACACACACACACACACACACACACACACACGCACTCACACAGGGTAACCCAGTTCTCCATCTATCAGTGTCTGTTTTTTCACTCTGATTAGGGTTGAACTGAAAAGAGGTGAACGAGCAAGAACCCTAAACAGAATCACAGCTGAGACCATTTACACAGTGATAGGTCTTCCTCCTCAGGAAGGGCCTGCAGACTGTTGTTCCAGAATGTCCTCTGATACTCTCAGTTCTTAGATATCTTGTATTAATTACCTTTTTATTGTTGCGGTAAAACACTGTGGCTAAGACAGTTTATAGGAGGGATTATTTGGGTTTATGGTTTTCAAGGATTAGAGTCCATGATGGCCAAGCAGAGGCAGCAGGTGGCAGGCTTGGCGGCTGGAGCCGCAAGCTGAGGGTTCAGGGTTTGAACCACAAGTAGGAAACAGAGAGCCCACTGGGAATTGGGAAAGACTTTGAGATCTCAAAGCCTGCTTCCAGTGACATACTTTTTTTTTTTTTTTTCTAAAAAGGTCACATCCCAAACAGTGCCACCAATTTGAGACCAAGTATTTAACTGTTTGAGACTATGGGGGACATTTGTCACTCAAACCATCACACTTCCTGACATGAGTTGTTCTTGGCCTTGTAATCCTCACACTTGGGAGGTAGAGGCAGGAAGATCAGAACTTCAGCATCATTGTTGGCTTCATAAGTGAGTTTGAGGCCAGCCTGAGCTACAGGAGATCCTATCTCAAAGCAAGAAGAAAATGGCAAACATGAATTGTTTGAGAGCCACAGAATTTTAGTGTTACTAATTAGTTTTCAGGTATTGGTTAAAAAAAAAGGCTAGAAGATACATTTTTTGTTTGTTTGTTTGTCCTTGTTTTTCTAAGACAGAGTTTCTCTATGTAGCCCTGGCTGGAACTCTCTGTACACCAGGCTGGCCTTGAACTCACAGAGATAAAGCTGCTTCTGCTTCCCAAGTGCTGGGATTAAAGGTGTACACCACCATGGCTGGCGAAGATACGTTTTTTTGTATTTTGTATTTTAAGAAGTCTCAAGAGTATCTGGGGAATTTGTCCATGCCCCTGGTGAGGTCTCTGAGCACATCTCCGCCTAGGTGTATGTGTTTTGTTTGTTTGTTTGTTTGTTTGTTTGTTTTGAGTAGATCCTGGTAAAGAAAAATACAGTGGAAACTTAATTCCTTATTCTAGAAAGTTTCACCATCTTAGAGAAGGACACATGGGCTGTGAGATTTGAAGACTCACTAGCACAATGGAATTAATGCTCTCTAAGGAGAGACCTGGATTCTCTCTCTCTGTGTGGTTAGACAGTGAGGTAGTTTTTCAGGAAAAACTATCTCTCAGGTACAGAATAGCTTCTGAAGTTTGTTTTTCTACTGCTTTTAATTTGAGCAGTAGAGAGCCAGAACAAGAGCAATATTAAATAAAGCCATGTGTAATATTAAAGCCACATACAATCCTTCTAAGTATAACTAGAATCTTTCTTATGCCACCCTCCCCCATACCTAGCACACATTGGAGTCTTCAGGCATTCTGAAAGCCTTCACTTCAGATTGTTTTCTGAGTCCCTGGAAGCCATTGACCCTTTTTTTGCTTTAGCATCTCATTCAGGAGCTAAAAGGCCACGCCATCAGAGTGAAGGAAGTGAAATTTAAAATTTAGTGTGCTTGAAAAACTTCGTATTTATAATGAGCTTGAGGGCTCAGAGGATTTGTGAAGTCGGTTGGGATTAACAGCCATTGATTGCTAATAAAACAATATTTAGCTTTGTCCGGAGAACAGCCCTGGAGAAAGGTGTGGGCACCTTGTCACCAGAGCCCATTGAGTCAGAATGATGGGCTGGGGGCGGGGGTCCACACATCGGCGTGGGTGCTGGTCCTTCAAGGAGCTCTTGTCAGTTGCTAGCTGGGCTGGTGAAAGGAAGGACGCTAGTGCCTGACGGCTGGGGAGGTATTGATACGCCTTTGCTGACTAATCAGCTTGAAAGAGTCCATGGTATTTATGTCACTTTAATTCCCATCAAACAATTGGGGCGACAGCACTCTGTTAAGGGGAGGTTGATCCAGAACTAAAGCCAAATAAATTAGAGTCTCAGTTTAATCAAATTATCCTTCTCCTGGCCCTGGATTAAGTGAGAGAGATAGCGTCAGTCTGGAGATTTGTGATTGGCTGAGCCTCTCTTATTTTTAAAGAAACTGCTGGAAAAAGAAAAAGCATTGGGACACAGACAGCTATAATAATCCAAGCATTGTGCTAAGGCAAGACAAAATGTATGTTACTAGCCAACTATGCATTGTGAATAATAGAGTAGTTATTAAAGTTGCTTTTAATTAGGGAAAGAAATAAATATGAGAGAGACCTAGGGAGGCTGTTTCTCAGTTTGGAGTTTTTCCTGTCTACTCTCAGTATATCTAAAATGACCATTTTGAGAAATCAAGAAATCAACTTTCTTACTCTCTCTTTCCCTAAGTGTTAAAATTTGCTTTGCCTCACTGTGTCTTTGTTTGTTTGTTTATTGTTTTTGTTTTAATTTGTTTATTGTATTTGGAGACATGGTCTTGCTATTAGCCCTGGCTGGTCTGGAACCTGCTATGAAAACCAAACTGACCTTAAACTTGCCATGGTCTTCTTGCTCTGCTTCCCACGTGCTGTGACTGACTATAGGCATGCACCACCTCACCTGGCTGTTTCACACTAATCTTAAAAAGCAGAAACATGAATTTGAGTCAGCATATAGGTCAAACTGGCAAGTGAGTTAACTGCACCAACAACGATAGTGACAATTCCTTCGTAAAGAGATAAGTCCAGGGCTGGTTAACTGCTTTTACAGAGGACCTGGGTTCAGTTTACTCTGAGGTGTGAAAGCATACATCTTTCAGTGAGCCCCTGGGGTAACCCTCTCCCTTTTTCCCCATTACCCTGTGGTTCCATTTTTGTTTTTGTTCGTCTGTTTTAATCCTAACTGGATTTACCTTTTTATTCAGATATTTTTGGATGAATATATTTTACATTCCGAATTTTTATCACTGGCCCTGTGATGTGAATTAAGAATGAAGATTCAGCACTGTCCTCACTGGACTAAACCCAGGGTAGTGTGGGGACAGGGATTCTCCAACCTTGTTGGTTTTTGTAACTCAGGCTTTCTTCAGACTCACAGCAGCCCTCTCTAAACATTTAAATGTGTGTGTGTGTTTTAGTGAGCAAGCCAAGCACACTTAATGGAGGCCTGAGGACAGTTCTGCAGGGTAGGTTCCCTCCTTCCACCTTTATACAGGTTTGGAAATTGAACACAGGTTCAAGTTGGCAAGCATCTTTACCCACTAAGTCCTTTTGATAGGTCCCTTTCTAACATTTTTTGGTTATATGCTTGCCAGTTCTTAAAAATTTGAAAATGCATTGTCGTATGAAATCCAAAGTATTTTGTAAAGGCTCCACATAAACTAGATATTGAATTTCTCATTCTCTGGTGCCTGGTTGTTCCTATGTGGTACTTTGGAGAACTCAGCATGGTGGAACTGATGCAGGGAAAAGAAAAAGAAAAAGCAAAGTTGTAAAATTGTTCAAAGAAATGGGCTGGGGTGGTAGCTCCAAGCAAAGGGTATGCTTGTGGCGGATGAGGTCCTGAATTCAGGGATGAGCAGCACAATCAGCCAACTAATCAGTCTATAGATAAATAATAGGTAAGTAATAACGAAAGAGGAGGAACACGTGTGACCGAGAGCAGGCTTGCCATTGAGACGCTGCTGTTTCCTCGGCTCACAGCAGGGATTTGCTTGCTGTCTGGGTTTCATTGCCATCCGTGAGGTGTACTGCCCTTCATCTTTGCTGCTGAAGCTGCTGTGTCCATCTGGAGACTCACAGTTGAGCCTTTCCCAGAGTAGAAGCCTGGCTTTCAACTGTGACTTAAATGCGTTTTATTTAAAACCCCATTTCCCCTAGACCTCCCAGCCGCCACCTTTCCCTGGGGAAAGGGAATCATCTTTGAACGTGAGTGTGCAACATTAGGAAACAACTCGTGTCCTTTTGCCCCCAGGAAGGATTCGTTCGTGTTGACCGAGATTATGTGCTGAAGTCTGCAGAGCTGGCAAAAACAGGAGGATGTAAACATTTCAACTTGCTGTCCTCCAAGGGGGCTGATAAGTCCAGCAGTGTCTTATACTTACAAGTAAAGGTTTGTGAGTGTTCTGTTTTCCATAGTCGTGGGGAAATTGACAATACGAAGTAAGTAGTATAATCTTTTTAAAAAAATTAAACACATTATATTGTGTATTTTTCAAAGCTGTGAGGACTGTTTTGGGAGAAACATACTTAGAAGGCAGGGATGCTTTAAAAGATCACTTCTGACGTGTTCTCCATGGATTATTCAGTAAAGTGGGTGGAGCAGACGGAACCCTGGCCTTGGATGCGTGGCCTCTCAGCTACGGAGACTTCCTCTCCATTTTTCTTGTGGACAAGAGGACAGAATATTTATGCCTTTTGCCAGTACAATACCTGATTATTTCTGATTTTAACTAGAAGTTTCCATTTCCTAATGCTGAAGTAGGAGAGGGCAGACCTGGTTTTGTGCTCCATGTCTCTGGACATGATCATCTGCCTTTCAAGACAAGAGCAGTGTTCAGAGGTTACCAAGCCACAGACTTTATTCAGTGTGAAATCCTTTCACAGAAGCACACTTGCCTTTTGACTAAATACCTCCAGCAGAAGGGCCTTTCATCTGGCCTCTCAGGTTAAAGGCACTTGTTTAAAAGTCCTCCCTGGGCATGGAGTAGACACTTTGTAAACGGTCCTCATCAGTTTCACACTGTGGTTATAGATACCACTCAGGGATCCTCAGTGCCTTAACTACCTTATTTCCAGGTGTGACACCCTGAATTCTCGGCTCCATATTTTATTGGTTTTTATGTCTACTTCCTTCATTGCCCTGATCTCTTTACTGAGTGGACCTTGAAGAACATGTCACGTTGTAGCTCCCCCGGCCTCTCTGATTACATCCCTGGTGTGAAAATTCATGGCTTTCTAATTTAAAGCATCTTCTATTTATAATTTCACCTTTTTTTGTTTGCTTGTTTGTTTGAGATCTGGGTGGAGGTTGCAAATGCTCAGAAGTGATTGGCACAGAGGGTCGTCTATGATCCACTGGGTGGAGGCTCATCTCCTGGCCACCATGTTTTTCTGACCCATTGCAACTGCCTGTACACTAAAAAGGTGACGGTAGGCCATAGAGCTCTGAGGAGGAACCGAAAGGGGTTGGATTGATGCTTCATTTACCCTCTCTGGATCTGCTTTGACATCGAGAGTGCCCCTGGAGCATGGCTGACCTACCAGGGGCCACTAAGGGTACCAAAGAGAACTCGTTGTTCCTACCCCTAGATGTCATCAGCTGTCCATAGCTACCTCCGTGCTGGAATGTTGCCTGGCTTGATCATGTCCAAAAGGCACTATTGCTCAGGCCCACCCTAACTTCTGTCTCTTACAATCTTTCTGCTTTTCTTCGCCTGCAATGGGGTTTGGAGGTGATGTCGATGTCCCGTTTGTGGTTGAGCATTCCATTGACAGTTACTCTCTGCACTTTGACTAATAGCAGATCACTGTCATTGTGCCAAGATTAAATGGCCTCTTCTGTCAGGTCCAGACCTGAGGCTCAGGCTGTTCTTTGGGGCTGATGTGAGACCCGAGAGCTGCAGAAACAGATTATCTTCAAGCCCCAGTGGCCCCCAGCAGGCGTTATCTGAGTGCATTGGTCTTGATCAAACACTGATTTTATTTTTATTTAAAAATTTTTTTTTCAAATCTTAACAGGGAGAAGTGGAAGCCAAGGTTGAAGAATTAAAGTTTGATCGATTCTCAGTGTTTCGGCCAGGGTGAGTTTCATGCTGCCAGGAGTAAGCAGAGACTGCCAGCTAAGAACATCTTGTTCATCCATTTGTGAACAAGGTCAGCTAGTGGAGAATTGCTTCTCTGAAGGACCCAGCCTTCAGCTTTGAACAAAGAGTAGCTTGGGGCTGCTTTAGGATCATCTGGAACTTCCTGGAAGTAGTGGGTGCATGCATTTTTTTCCTTACATGCTAAATTTTATTCACTTAATGATTTTTTGCCTTTTCATGCCCCTTTATGCATGAAATCAAACTTTCCAACCACTACATAAGCCAAGTGATTTCCTTGAAGTCTGGAGGTCAAAAGTCTGAGATAGAGGTGTCACTGGGGTTGGTGTCTGCAGAGGTGCCCCTCCTCCTTGTAGGCACTGCAACTTTCTCATCGAGGCCTCATATGGCCTTGCTTGTGCATAAACAGAAAGATATCTGGTGTCCTTTCTTCTTGGAAGGACAGCAGCCCTATCCATCCTCCATATCCCTTAACTCTAATTACTCCACAAGGGCAATCTCCAAACACAGTATCTTGGGGGTTGGGCTTCAGTTGACAGGTTTTGGGAACAGGACTGAATCTGAAGTATCTCAAACGGTCCAAATGCACATGCCATCTCTTCCTCTACCTTTCTGTCTCCTAGAGTCCTACTGTGTGACAGACAAGAGTCTCGTCCAGGCGAATGGCTGGCTAGGAAATTCTTCGGCTCTCTGCCAGACTCTTGGGCCAGTGGGTATGCTGTGCCTGTGGTGACGGTGGTTAGAGCGATGCTGAACAACCTGGTGAGTCCCAGCAGTGGACAAATGGAACTTCTGGAAAATAAGGCCATCCTCCACCTGGGGAAAGACAGTGATGTCCCCAAACTGTGACTGTGCTGGAGGATATTCATGAAAACCTCAGTGTCTGTCACCACATCAGTCATTTTGGGCTCTATAGAAAGTCTCTTTGTGGTCCTCTCCTCAGCCATGCAGCTGCATCAGGAAATGGCAGAGCTCTGCATCAGTTGTGAGCCCCTTTGTTCATATAAGTCATCCAGGAAGCTTTTGAAGAACAGGTTTATATCACAAACCTAAACTTTGTAGGTTGCAAATAGGGATCTCTGGAGGTCCCGGTGCCTCTGGTTGTTAAGACCAGCTTTGAAGCACTCCTACAGAGACAGCTGAGCAGAGGGGCTCTCGTACTTCAGGCAGGCGAGTGATGTTGAAGCTTGTTAGCAGTCTAGTCTCCTAGTGGCACGGTGCTGATGGGCTGCATGTAGCTGAGTGAACACTGTGCCTTGACTCTGTGTCAACATAGAAGCTGTAAAACCAGCTTCTGTAATTCACTGAGGAATAAAAATAATGGAGAAACCCAGTGTGGTGTTTCAGTTGCTGGAAACTGGAGGTATTAGTGGGACCGTACAGTGAAGGCCCCCAGGGATGGCATCATAGCCACTAACACTGCAGGTATCTGTATAGTTTTAGGTTGTATGTTCTTGGCCCTCCAGTAGTTCCCCAGCATCCTATAGAGCCATACTGTTACCCTCATATCTTTAGTTTTTCATTTAAACTTGTATTAAATTTCTATTCTTATCCTTATGTTGCAGATGGGGAGTCTGAGGCACGCTATTGCTAAGTGTCTTGCTCAAGGCTTTACAGCTGAGAAGTTAAAGCTAGGAAGTGGCAGGGTCGGGATAAACCACTCAGCCTGATCCTATTGCTTGTATTTTGTATGTGTGTGTGGTGTGTGTGTGTGTATGTGTGTGTGTGTGTGTGTGTGTGTGTGTGAGTGTGTGTGTTCCCTCAGAGGCCAGAAGAAGGCATTGGATCCCCTGAACCTGAGTTACAGATCCACTTATGTGAGTGCTAGGAACACATTGTTCAGGTCTTCTGGAAGAGCAGCAAATGTTCTTAACCACTGAGCCATCTACCCAGCTCCCTGCAGCTGGCTTCTTTAACCACTCTGTTAAAGTACCCTGTGTCCATCTATTTCTAGAGGTTTCCAGTTAACTTAGTATATTGTGTATGCATAAAACGTAAGTTCTTGTGTTTCTCTCTTGGTCCAGGATCCTTACAATTGCAAACAGTGGTTAATCTAAAATTCTCGGACATTAAACTTTGAAAGACTCAGTGTGGTGCGCTTTTCTAGTCTTTTGGGAAAGCGTCTTGGGTAGCCCAGGCTGGCCTCAAATTCAATAAGCAGTCCAAGATGAACTTATGATTCTTATTTCTCTACCTCCCAAGTGTTGGGAGGGAAGTTACTGGGAAGAGGGGTGTCTCAGGGTTTTATTGTTGTGAAGAGACACCAAAACCAAGACAACTTTTATAAAGGACAACATGTAGCTGGGGCTGGCTTAGAGTTTCAGAGGTTTAGTCTATTATTATCACAGTGGGAAACATGGCAGTGTGCACAGACTTGATCTTGGAGGAGCTGAGAGTTCTACATCTTGATCCAAAGGCAGTAGAAGGGGACTGGATTCCACATTGCGTGGAACACAGGAGACCTCAAAGCCTGCTCCCACAATGACACACTTCCTCTAACAAGGCCACACCCATTCTAACAAGGCCACACTTCCTAATAGTGCCACTCTCCATGGGCCAAGCCTTCAAGCTCATAATTCTGTGGGGGCCATACTTATTCAGACCATCACAAGGGGTAGGAAAACTGTACAGTTGGGAGGACTGGAGGGAAGCTGACCTCTGGACATGCCAGGCCCTCTACACTCAGAAAACTAGCAGCTGTGGTTTCCTGAACAAGATAAGCCAGTCAACATTCTAACATGGAGTGGGGATTCTTGAGCACCCACTCTTAACTGAGGGGCTATGGACAGTGGATGTTTCTCAGAGAGGGAGTTCTCCTTAAGGTTGTGGCCTTGGTAGGTTGGCCACACTCCAGTAGTCCCCACACCCAGAGTATGTGGACCCCAGAAACTGGAATCCATGTTACTATTTTTTTTTTAAAAATTTACAAAAGTGAGCAATAGGGACATAGGAGTGGATGGATCTGAGAGAAATTAAGGAGCAGGGTGGGAGGAATATGATGAAAATACACTATATGAAATTCTCAGTAAAAATATTTTAAAAAATGGTGATGTGAGCAAAATCCTGTTGGTGGGGGTGGAGGAGGAACTGCCCACCAAAGAGCTTCGATGATTGCTGGTACACTGGCTTGGGGGTGTGCATGGTGGCAGTTGAGTTGAGCTGTGTCAGGCATTATGCAGGCCTAGCTGTTCATGTCCTCAAACATGCTTCATGCAGAGTTCAGCCTCAGCTGCAGCCTAGAGGCGTTACCTACCCAGAATTACTGCTGCCACCTGCCTGAAAGAACTCTATGGTTAGATCCTAGGAATATTAGAAAGGAAGCAGCCTAAGAAGCAGGGACCCTGGTATCCTCCCTAACCCACAGGCAGGGCAGAGAGCATCATTTGCTGGCACATATCACACAGTCCACCTGTTTCCATGATATGGGATTCAAGTTAATGCCTAAACTTTTCACATACATGAACTCATGTAAGTCTTACCATAGCTCTCAAGCTACTGTAGTCATGATGGTGTTTCATCAGTCAGGAAACAGGCCGAGAGAAGGCAGGTTACCTGCTCATGATCTTAGAATTCAGGCTACTCAGAAATAGGGTTCAAATTCAAAGTCCGTGGTTCTCACTTTACCACTTTAGCACCCCTAGTAGGGTTTGGGGCATGGCCTCATCAGCATAATGGGGCTTCCTTTACTTCCCTGAGCCTCCGAGGCTGGCCTGCATTGGCCATCTCTGCCGCCAGAGGGCGCTGTGACAAGTCGCGCTCATCCTTGCAAGCTCCGACTGCCTCGGTTGCGCACGCGTCCAAACCGGAGCGCTGTGCCCCGCCTCCCCCGCCCACGTGACCCGGAAGCGCTCTCCGGCCGGTTCACGATCCGCGTGTGTGTTGCTTTGGGGCTACCGCGCGCCTGCGCTCGCTCCCAGCTCCGGTGCCGCGCTGTACGGCCGCGCGCTTGGTCGGCGGCCATGTGTTCGCTGGCGGCGGGGAACGGTGGGTCCCTCGTGTGGGCGGCGGGGCAAGGGAAAGGGAGGGAGAGCGCGGGTCCCGGTGCTGACAGTGTGCTCTGCAGGCCAAGGCGCCGATCTGGGGCCGGAGCCCCTGGAGCTGTCGGACAGCGGAGACGACGCGGGCTGGGAGGACGAGGACGCGGACGCTGAGCCCGCGCACGGCCGGCAGCACACACCCTGCCTGTTTTGTGACAGGTTCGTGCCGGTGTGGGGAAGCGCGCCGCAGCGCGAGCGAGCACGTGGCGGGCCTGAGGCCCCGGCCCGCGCGTGACGGTTGATTGACAAGGGACTGCTCACGTGGTCCGGGGGGCGGAGCCGGGAACTGCTCTGGGTTTGCCTCTGCAGCTCAGTTAACCCCACCCCTCACACTCCTCCCCTCACACCCCAGATACTAAGCCAGCTGGCGTACCATCACTCTGGAGGCTGAGGCAGGAGAATGATCATGAATCCCAGGCCAGCCTGAGTCACCTAGCTAGACCCTCTCTGGAAAACACACACACACAAAAACTGAACTCCACACCTTAGTCCTAAGTTAGGGATGGAGTCCTTTGAGTCCATGAAGGTACTGGGTGGTTTTTATTCTGTTCCTTACCAGACTTTGAAAGTGCATAGACTGGAAGCGCGCTTCCATTTCTACTATCCTATAATATGACCAGTAATGTTCTCTTCTGTTAACATTCAGTTGAGCCATTTAAACAGTCCTAGCTCACTTCCATGATCGAGGGAGGCATTGATGTCCTTTGTACTTAAGAGGAAGTGAGGCTGCAGAGCCACCAACTTGTCAAGGTCACGAAGCTGTGGTTTATGTTCCTAGGACACATCTTCTTTTCACTTAAAATCCTACATCTTAGATTGAAGAAAGTGACTTTGTTGAAAAAAGGGGTGATTGACATTGACCAGCACTGCCCCCACCCCCTGTGTGGGTGCATGATGCTGACTGGTGGCATATTAGCTTTCCTAGGTGGCACCTTATTGGAGGAGGAGTGATTGCATACTCATATTTATTGAGCATCTGTGGTGCAGTGCCCTGTGATAGGCTGCGGAGACGATCCAAATGGCCTATCTTGGCAAATATTTGTTGAGAGTTGCCTGTGTGCTAGGCATACAGAGGAGAAGTGCAGAGTCTCTGCTTTATATTCGTTCGTGTCCTCTTCAGTGTTAGAGGTTACATACAAAAGAAGAAGTGTTATTCTTCACGTTGTAATGCAGGTGCTGTGGGACAACCAATGTCACTTGAAATCTGGCACTTTGGGAATGTGCCAGCTGTATAATTGTGTGCTTTGTGTCTAAAAACACTGTGCTGGGTTCAGAGGGAGGAGAAAGAGGCTCGCTCAAGTAGGGAACTTTCGTGACTTGAGAGAAACCAAATATATCAGAGAGAGCTTTGTTACCCAGAAGCCTCTGGGTAAATTTGGGGTGATCAGTGTTGTTTTATAAAACGGCTGTGGTGTAATGCAGGAGGGAGGGAGCACCTCAGCCTGCCCGTGCTCAGGTGTCCCCCCTGAGGAATCAGCCATAGGACAGATTTAATTTATTTGGGACCTGGGGAAGAGGGTAGAGGCAGAGAAAGGGGGACAGAAGGACAGAAAGAGGGAGGAGGAGGGGAAAAGGCCAGCCAGGGACACAAGGGAAGAGAGAGCGGGAGAGAGTAAATGGAAAGAGAGAGGGAGGTAGGGAGAGGAACAGAGGGAGGGGGAGGCTGTTGCTAGGTAACTGTTGGGAGGAGCCTGGAGGAAGTGCTATCATTCAGTATTTTGACCTCCTCTGAGACTGTCCCAGGAGACTGCCCCATGAGGCTATCTATTGCTTGTTTCTTCAGGTTGTTCGCCTCTGCTGAGGAAACATTTTCACACTGTAAGTTGGAGCATCAATTTAATATTGATAGTATGGTCCATAAACATGGTGAGTATCTCTTAGAATAATGACAAGTTTCGCTTGTGAAGTTTAGATTCAAATTTTATAGTTTTCCAGACCCTTTATTTTCTTTGTGACGGTAGGTGTCTTCCTCAGGCACCTACCTTCACTTCCTTGAGGCAGGGCCGCTCACCGGAACCTGGAGCTCACTGCCTCAGGTCGAGGGCTCAGGCGTGATCCCTGGCTCCTGCCTCCAAGGGTCACATTCCAAGAGGCTGTCACCTCTGCCTGGTGTTTTATATGGTGCTGAGAATCGAAATCACGTTCTCATGCCTGTTGTATAAGCTCTCTTACCCATCTTGCCACAGGTCTGACGACCTGAGTTTGCTTCCTAGAACTCACATAGAGGTGGAAGAAGACAGCCAATATACAGAGCTATTCTTGGACCTCCACTTGTGCACTGTAGTATACCATACATACACCATCACACTCTCCCTCCCCCACATATCATATCCCCACATGCATGATAATAAATACAAATTGTCAATGAAAAGCAAAAAAGCCCTTTAAAACCTGTTACCTGTGGTCAATTCTCAGATTAAATATTTAAAAGTATCAAAATTGCATTTTCTAATTCTTAATGCAAGATTCCAAATAATAAGTGATACTCTAAAGGTCAGAAATATCTCATTGGAGGAGCATTTACAGATGAGTTAAAACAAATATATTGTATTAAAATCAATGTATTATCCTTTTTCCCATTTAGGACTTGAATTTTATGGATACATTAAACTAATAAATTTTATTAGACTTAAGGTAAGTTGGAAACCTAATAATTTTATTTAGAAATTTTTGGAGTTCGACTGTCACTGTACTTATTATTTAATAAGATATGAACTATTGTTTCAAATTTGGCATTTTTTATATTGTGGAAATTGTGGGCGTGAAGAAAGAAGGAGTGCTTGTGAACTCCAGGTGGAGTTGTCCCCTCTGCTTACTCCTGTCCTGATAAACTACATTGATCAGTACTCTGCAGAAAGCAATGTCAGATAAAAGGAAGTATCACATAATTTCTAGTCTGACTCTACTTTGGATGAGCTTTAAAGAAAATTTCACAGTTTATCCTCTTTTTTAAATTTCTATTTTATTTTATGTATATCAATGTTTTACCTGTATGCCTGGTGCCTGTAGAAGTCAAAAGAGGCTGTCGGGATCCTCTGGACCTTGGGTTACAGATGGTTGTGAGCCACCATGTGGGTGCTGGGAATCAAACCCAGCTGTCCTGTAAGGATAGTCAATGCTCTTAACCTCTCAGCCATTTCTGTGTCTTGCATTGTTTAATTTTTTTTCTAATGTTTTGTTCTTTGTCTTATTGAAATGATATTTGAGCTGGTATCACTTTCCTGGCCTCAGACAATAAAGAATCCCCAGTAGCCATTTAAAATGATGAGTAAACACAGCCGCACCAGTCTTGTGCAGACTTGAGTTCGTTTTTGCTAAAGTTCCCCACTCTTTTTTTAGGGAGCTTTGTCATTGCATACAGTGAATACAATGTGCTTTATCTTCATGCCCAGAACCCTACGGTTGAGTATATGAATTCCATATATAACCCTGTGCCTTGGGAAAAAGATGAGTACCTGAAACCAGTGTTGGAAGATGACCTTTTGCTTCAGTTTGGTAAGATGAACCTTCTCTATCTGCTTTAGTTAGCCTCAGGCCATTTGTCACACCAAATGAAGCAAAGTGTGTTGTGAACGTGGACCTTAGTCAGTCCCCTTCAAGCAGTGATTTTGCTTTCTGTTTCCCTGTGGTTGATAAAACAGTAGATGATTCTGAAAATAACCACTTTGTAAATTTTAAGTTGGCTGCTGTTCTGGATGCGTGATGAAGCAGTGCGCCAGTCCATTCTTCCTGGCACGTGCTTCCTGGTTTCTCCAGTGTCTGCACTGTGTATGCCCACCCTTTTGTTGCAGTTACAGGATTGACTATTACAGCACCATAGTGCTCATGTTCAAGGAGACTATATTCATACACGTTTTCCTATAGCATCTTGTTAATATTTATTGTTAATTGTTAGTCATTTTCTGTATTCAACTTATTGATTACACTTTATGATGGGAAACATGGTTCATAGTGGGTTCCGTTTTAAGCCTCTACTGTAGATCCATGGTCCATGGATAAGGGCTTCGTCTCTACAGACCTCAGCAGGCTGTCAGTTTTCACACAGAGATGAATCACAGGGCTGGGTATACAGCTGAGCTGATGAGAGCGTACCTGCCATGGACTAATTCTAGGTTTGACCCCGAAGTACTCCCAGCCTCAGCAAAACTGCATTCTTGATGCCTATCATTAGGTTAGAGATTGACCCTCTGATTCCAAACAGATGTACACAGAGTAATTTATTACACCATTGTAGCTTATTGCAAAATATGGAAAGAAGCTAAATACCCTCTCAGAAGAAAATGATTGAGTAAATTGTAGGCATCCACACTTGGAACAGTGTGCTCCTCTAAAGAGAACAGGCATCCCTGTGAACTCTGTGGAGTAATTGTCAGAACTCGGTGCATTGTGCAGTAAGACCACACCTTCCAGGGGCTGCTACTGCTTACTGCTTCTCTTTCCCTTTCAGTTCATAAGATTAACAGCACTGAATGGTGATGCATATTATGTTAAATTATGACAGATTTTTATTGTAGTAGTAATAAAACCAAGCTTGCCAAATAGCTTGAATTTGGAAACAAAGTGAGGATTTGCATTAGTTTTTCGGTTGCTGTGACCAGATACCCAAAATATGCAAATGAAGGGAGGAAAGACTTAATCTGGCTGGCCATTTGAGAGGATTGGATCATTCCATACTGGCAGAGAAGGCATTGCATAGGCAGCTGGTTACACTGGGTCTACATCAGAAAGTCTAGAGTGGATAGGAGGTAGGGCTTAGTGTAAGGTTGGAAAGGTGACACAGGTTAAGAACACACACTGCCAGTTCTGTTCCCAGCATCCAGATGAGAGCTCACAACCAATTGTAACTCCGATTCTAAGGCCTGTGATGTCTCTTCTGGCCTCTGTATGTATATGGTGTACATACAGACTAGCTGACACATACACACAAATACAAATAAATAATACTTACGATCTTATTTCTGTCTCTCATTGCCTGTAATGGGTTCTACTTTCTAAAGGTTTTACAACTTCCTCAACAGTGCACCAGCTGGGGACTGAGTATTCAAACATATGAGATGACTCTGTTCTCTGGGTGTGAATGGAGGTCAGTAACTTTGCAGTGTGTGTGTTAGGTTCAGCTTGGACTCCCAGAGGAGCAGTGTCTATGGGTTAGCTTAGCTGTTGTGTCCCTGAAGAGTGTCTCCATAAATATCACTACAGAACCTGAATGGGGGTGGGTACTGTCCCCAGGGCTGCACAGAGGAGGGAACAGTGTCAGTAGTGTTTGTTGCTTTAAGTAATCTTAAAGTAACAAAATCTGCTGATTCTGGGATTTCTTAAGACTCACTGGTTCCGTCTCTGCAGTTATTTCTACACTACAATTTAATGATGAAATTTTAAAAATCAAGATTTTTTTTTTTTAACCTAAGATTTTGGCTAAGATTTTTTTTTTTAACCTAGGATTTTGGCCGAATAGGATCAGTAATAAAATGATTAGTGTCTTGCCTAGAATGGGAAGGCATTGGATATATAGAAGTCCTTATCCGTACTCTGTCTTTAAGGAATAACTTGTCTTCCTTATTTCATGAAGATGTGATTGAATGCAACCTTTTGGTATGCAGGGTTGTGATCCTGTGAACAAAGACATTGTGAAATGGCTGTTGCAGTCAAGCAAATTAGCATCCAGCCATTTACCCACCATTTTTATGTGTGATGAGAACACATCACTCTGCTGCATTTGCACATTTCACATATATACCAAGACATTACCTGTAGTCACATGGTTGGTGAGCTGTTCTGAATATACTAGTCTGAAGTTAAGCTTATAACCTTAGCCTATGGAAGCACAATTCTCTCTGTCTCTGTCAGGTCTGTGGTTTTGTTGTTGTTTGCTTGTTTTTTGTTTTTCCTACAACATTTTTTATTGATTCTCTGGAAGTTTCACATCATGTATCACATCCCTTCCCTGTCCTTCCATGTTAGTCCCACTCTTGTGACCTCCTCCCCACCAAAGAAGTAAAAAATAAGAAACAACAACAACAACAACAAAAAAAAAAACCAAACACAAGTCCACTTTGTGTTACTGTGAATGTTACTATATGACTTTGAATTGGTCATTTAGCTTTTTTTGAAATTTACTTTCCCTGTGTCTGAAATAGGAATAACTAATGTCACCTCAAGTTATTTTGAGCATGAGATGTGATGTACTCTGTGCGTACTTGAAAGCTTATGGTAAACACTAGAGTTCCTTCTTGTTTGGTTCAGTGTATGCATGCATGCATATGTTCAGTTTAGCTAGCTAATCGAAAGCATACTCCATGAAATCAAATCAGAGGACTTGGATAGGAAGTATACAAAAAGTGCTTTTAATAGTTTTCCTCACTTGACCATGGTAGGCACTTAGGCCTGTTTCTTTCCAACCTGTTTGTCCCTGCTGTGCTGCTGTGAGGGGACCTGATAATGATGTTCGTTCACCTTTTAGATGTAGAAGATCTTTACGAGCCAGTGTCTACTCCCTTCTCATACCCCAATGGACTCAGTGAAAATACATCTGTTGTTGAAAAATTGAAGCATATGGAGGCACGGGCACTGTCTGCTGAGGCTGCATTGGCTCGAGCGCGCGAGGATCTCCAGAAGATGAAGTAAGTACTTGTCCAACCAAACCCTGCTTTAGGGAGTTACTGGTAAGAACATCTGGAACGCTAGACCCTCGGTATAGATACTTATTTTAGGAGTATTGAAGATATGCAACATTTCATGGATGGTCTACTGTAGAATTCCATTTTTATGTATTTGTAGAAACCTCATAATTGCTTTGTACAGGTGGCTGTTTTCATGTCCTAAAATATTTCCTGCCTTTCAATTTTCTTGTTTCTAGTTGGTTTCTCCACTTTAATTGTCCTAGTTTTTCAGAAATGGAAGGATTATTATTTTTTTTGAAAAATACAATGTTGAAATGTTGTTTTTAAAAAACCAAAATGTGACAATAGTGTAGAATTGAACCAAAGAACCAGGTAGATGGGGACAGCTTTTTTCCCACTGACAGACATTCTCCTGGAGTCCCTCATTTCCTGGGGAACTTGTTAGTTTAGATGTTACTGTGGAGGTGGGCATAGGCCTTCACATGTGCATCCATAGCATGTATGCCTCCATAGCATGTATGCCTCCCAGCTTCTACCTGCTCGACAGGACCCGAGTTCCTATTTGGTGGCTGGCCAGAATGTCTGGGGCCTGGAAGAGCAGAGTTGATCCAAGTTCCTAGTTCCTAGCTCGACTTTCTGCCCTTTTGTCTTCCTCTCTCTCGTGTACCATGTAGATCACTAATGTGTCACCACTTGGGTGTGAGAACTGGAGTAGATAGGACCTTCTTTCTCCCCATATAACCCATTTCAAGAACATTCAAAGTTGAAATCGGCTCCGTTGATTTAAATGCTAAAAAGGATGTTTAGAACAATAGGGAAAATACATTTGATAAAGTAGTATCTTGCTTCAGATCCAGCAGGGGGTGCTGTGGGGTGCTTCAGCTAGAGAGAAGGATTTAAGATTCTGGGCACACTGCCCTTCTCCCCCTCCCCTTCGTCCCCCTCTAGCCTTGCCTTTTCTCATGGTCCAATAAATCTGTCTCAAGGGTGTATTTCAAATTGATTACAGACAATTTGCTCAGGACTTTGTGATGAACGTAGATGTCAGAACCTGCTCCTCCACGACTACCATTGCAGACCTGCAGGAAGATGAGGATGGCGTCTACTTCAGCTCCTATGGGCATTATGGGATACATGAAGAAATGCTAAAGGTTGGCCAGAGCACATATGCATCAAATCTGCCAAAGGGAGAACCCTACAGAATAGGCTTTTTCTTAACAGTCAAGAGGGGTGTTTGTTTGTGTGTGTGTGCGCACATGCACCTGTGCTCCCACGATGAAAAGATTACGGAGGTGTCAAGGCCCTATAAATCCTATTTACGTCAGCATTCATCTTTCTTGTGAAGCCACCTTTTCCTTCAAATTGAACACTGGAAATAACAAGTGCTTGATGGTCCGATCTTCCCCAGAACGTCTACTGTGTTATACAGTGATTAATGACAGGCCTAGTTTCATTAATGGAAGAGAAACTAGTTTAATTTTTAAAATAGCAATGCTGACTTGGTTTGCACAAGTAATAATCTTATAAAGTTTAATTTAAAATAGTTCTCATTGTATTTGTTTGGCATGCCTTATAACCCACAAATCACTGATAATATAGAGATGTTTCCTAATGTGGTCAGACCTGATACTTGAATCTCTTCAGTTTTAATAGTCATAGTGGTTATGTCCATATAAGATAGAAGTAGTTTCTAACTTTATCTACTGACTGTACATTTTATCAGATATTACAGATCACAATAGTAAGAGTTAACTCAGCAAAACTGACTATATCTGACTGGAGTAAAATAAAATGTTGGATTGTAAAATTTACTAAAATTCTTTAATATTTATCTCCAGGAATGTTAAATGCTGCCTTCTCTTTTCTTAAAATTGATCAATAAAATCCTTTTCTGAATCCTCCCTCCAAAGATTATTCTATGTAAAGGTAGCCCAAGGACTTTAAAGCAGTGTGATGCCATTATTAATGCTGTATCACAGCTGCTGTCATCTAGGTGATGCTGGCATAGCTTTACAGACAATAAAGATCATACAAGTGAGGGAATTTGTGTAACAAATGGGCATGCTTCCTATTTGTGGTAAAGGAGAGAGTTCATCTAAGCCCAGTTGGTTGTTTAAATCTGTCAACTTAGTGCTGCATGCTCTTTTGTGTCTTTGTTGTGAATCTTGTATAGTCTTTTCTAGACAGGCCATGGTCACTGAAAGTCCCTGTGGATAGGAATGTGATCAGGGAAGACTGGTGTGCATACAATGACTCTCTCGAATGTCTGACAGCAACTAGAGACTGATGTGTGACCAGTGTGAGAGCCTTGGGTGTACATGGAGACTCCAGCTGAAGGGGTGTAGGATCATCTTTCCCTTTAGAAAAATCACGTAGACACTGCCATTAATTGTCTCTGCCTCAGTTTCCCTTCCTGTGGTACAGGTTGCTCTTGGAGACATCTATGGTTTTGATATTGGCTAAGTTGGGAAGTAGGCATGCCTTGAAGCAGGCTGTTTCCTGTTTTTCAGCAGAGCAGCTCTTTGCACAAACAAACTGTTCAGTGGTATCTTACTACAGAAAGCCTGCTTGATTCTGACAAGTCATTTAAGATTGGGAAATCCTGAGTGTGGGGCCTTTTATAGACTGGTTGGCAGTTTTTCTTGTTTAGTTGCAAACAATTGGATCATAATCATTAAATTTGGATGAATGTAATTATTTAAAATTCAAAGACAGAGTTGATAAGGAGTGTGGGTTAGATGGACTTTAGATAGCCCTTGCTACTTTGAGCCTCTGAAGAAGGGTTGCTGTGGGCTGTAATGCAGATCCCAGCTGCACCCCATCTGCCTTTGTACTGTGGCAGTCGCTGTCTGGGAGTGCAGTAGTTATTGTGTTGTTCAATACATGAAGTGTGGCTGTGGGTGTTGTCTCCTCACACCTGCAGCTGACTTGGGCTTTTGTTCCCTTTCCTAGGCTAATGCACCTTGAGGTGTTATGTGTGGATGTAAAATTGTAGTGTGTAGCTTCTGCCTGAGGCTTGTCTGCAATGGTTTTGTTTTGAGGGATAGAGCTGAGATCCTCCGCTCACTTCATACACGTCTACTGTGCATCAGAGCTCTAACTTGTTACTTTGTGTCTGATTGATATGAAAGTTGTCTTCTAAGTTTTAGTCTAGGTTTTCATGTTAGCCTTTTGTTAGAGTAAATCTTTGGAACTTTGTTGTTTTGAGGATTTCCTTTGTTGTGTTTATTTTGAGACATTTTTGCATGAAGCATAGGCTGACTTCCACTCTCTATGTAGCCAAGGATGACCTTGAACTTACGACTTTCCAGCTCCCACTGCTGAGGATCATAGGATCTTAGTCTGAGCAGCTACCCTGACTTGGAACAGTTTTTAAGGAGATTCTTCAGTACCTTTTCTGTTCATGATTGTGGATTTTTTCTAACAGAGCATCAGTTATTCAGCCCAGGCGCTGCTAGATACAGATGTATGTGATGAGAGGTCGCTGGGAAGAGCATAGCTCAGCCAGGTAGCGTTGTGTGCAGTTAGGACTGCAGTTGGAATGCTGTTGAGTTAGACGGTGGAGAGGCAGGGTGATGGGTGAGAGCATTCTGCGTTCTCAGTGTGCATGCACCTGTGACTCATGCCCATTCTGAGTTCTCTTGTTGCAGCAGAAAATGTACAAAATTATGTTCACTTAAAGGGGCATTTGATTTATAATTTTTCTTTATTCTTGAGAATTTTGTATGTGTATACGATGTAAACATAATCCTACCCACCACCTTTTCTCCCTAATTTGCTCCATACCCAGTACTAATTGGAAATCGGACTTAGTGACTATCCCCCAATACTTCCCCTCCCCCCCCAATCCCTGGCCAAAAGAAAAATAAAAGAGGAAATGAATTTTGAAAGAGGAGACATTAGAGGGATTTTGGAGGAATTGTCTTTGTTGATGTAAGTTTCCTGTTTATTTTATGGGGAAATGAGAAGACAGGTCACTGTGGCATGCATTCATTATTCAGGGAAAGGTAACAAGGTCACACAGGCTCAGGACAGATGCGGCTATTTGTCAGAGGTACTCTGCACCCTTATTTGGCCGGATACCTTTTTATGGTAAAAGTGAGGCCCATAGGTAACCGAAGGCGACTAGTTTATCTTTTATGTGAAAACCAAAGCTAGAATTTCTCAGTCAGTGGCACTTGTTTTTACCATATGCAGTTTTCCTTACTGGCTGCAGAGCCCTCCCCCACCTCATCTGCAGGCTGTACATGTCTGACTTAAGGGTGCATCTTGCTCACCAGCCAGCAGGAATGAGAGGGTGCTGTGGGCTTGCATGCTCACAGTTCATGAGAGACTCCAGAGCGTAATACCTGGTAACGTGCTGTGGGGCTCACAGGATTTCTTTCTAGACCTACATGCTTTGAGGCATTGTTTCCAACTGCAGACATTTCTAGAAACAAAATAGTTCTATAAACGAGATGCTGATGTGATTTTCTTAGAAGAACTTCCTTGGTATGGATTCATGATTCCTGTGCACTTCATCTTTTCTTTATCTGTTTTGTTTTTTATGTTCCGTATTTTCTTGTAGCTTCAGTGCAGGGAGCCAGGCTCTGCTTAAAGGGCACCGTCACTTAGCATTTATCACCTCTTGAGTCTATTGGTGACCAGTGTGGAAAGAAAAAGGCACACACATTTCAAACTAATGGCTAGATCTGATTGTTCACGGATGCTTTTTAAATAAAAAGGTTTTTGTTTTGTTGTTATTTATGTCCTTTATTGTTTTCTTTTAGAAGGAAAAAAAATAAGTAGCTCAGATTTCTAGGCAGAATATAGCAGTGAAAGCAAGCAGTATGTGATACAGTAGAATAAGTTCATAGAAGAATTCATTTGCTCAAACTGTCCCTGTAAACATGGTGCTTTGCTTTCTCTACCCTAGGACAAAGTACGCACAGAAAGCTACAGAGATTTCATATACCAAAATCCACACATCTTCAAAGATAAGGTGAGTGAATGGTAATTGAATCGTCCCTGGACAATTGACTCAGGTTTTGATTCCCAGGAGCCTTAGATGACCTGCTATGTGGTGCTTCATCCTGATAATCTAGATGCTAATGGGGCTGCCGTTCAGGGCATCTTTTATAGAGCTGAAAGTCATTCGTTACAGGAATGGAGCCGTTGCCTATCCAATTAGTCTAAACTGTAGTTTTTGACTTATTGTGATTGTGTGTTTGGATGTATCAGATAAACCCCATGGCAAAGCATACTTTTAATTATTCTGCGTTGAATAGTTAAAAATTCATAATGTTGGCTAGACTAAAATATAAAAGCTAGATTTTTTTTCCTGTACTGTTTAGTTCCTTGTGAATGTGTCTTTCTATGCGACATCTTGTTTTCTGTTTTAATCCTGCCTAATTTATTTATTTAAAGCTTTATTATATTTTACTTAATTATTCTTTCTTTCAGTTTGTTTATTGTGTATGGTAGGGTGGGCATATGCATACCACAGAGTGTATGTGTCTGTCTGAGGATGGTTCTGTCTTTACCATATGGATTCCAGGTTGTTATGTTTGGCAGTAAGTGCCTTTGTCTACTGAGCCATGTCACTGGTCCTGTTTGTGTGTGGGTGAACAAACACTGGCATGTGTGTGACATGGAGCATGAATGGAGTTCAGGGACAACTTGTGAGAGTCTGTTCTCTCCTTCCACTAGGCAGTTCTTAGGGATCAAACCCAAGCTTGGTGGCAGGTGCCTTTACCTGCTGAACCATCTTGATAGTCATGTTCTTCATTTAAAAGACGATCGTATGGTTTGTGTGTATCTTTCTTGCTTTCTCTGTATGCACATATGAGCTTGTGCATGTGTGAATGTGTATGCTTCTTTGTGTGTACATGTGTTGTGTTTGTGGAGTAGTTCTTCCTCACAAGTTCTCACATTTGCTTCCCCCCCTCTGTCCTCTCCCTCCCTTTCTATATTGCTGTGGTTGTTCAAAGTGTGATGTGCTTATTTTTCTTTGTTAGACATTAACCCATTAATTTAGTTATGAGTTCTGCCACCTGAATACCTTTGCCTAGAATTATTCTTCCTTCAAGACTCTACTCTGAGAGCCCATAGATGTTTCTAGTTTTCACTACATCTTAAACTCCTGTAAGATATTTCCTGGGCTTTCTGTCTTAGAGGAGTGTCCAGTCCAGCTGGACAATCAAGTGGGACCCTTAGACCCTGTGACCCTTAGACTGAGATACACAAGAAAATAAGAAGTCACAGCAAGTCAAGAAGTCTGATCAAGCTGGCAAAGATTTTATTGTTCACACAGGTTATATAATCTGAAAACAGGATATGGGGAGGAGTAGGAAGGGAAAGAGGACTTTGCAGGTGGAGGAGGCCGGCTGCAGCTGTGGGGTCTAGCTAGGTTATACCTGTTGTTCTCACAAAGTCTTGCCATTACCAGGGGTTCTAAAAACATCGATTTAGCAGGATGTTGGCTAAATCTAAAGATCCAGAGGAAGGGTTTCTAGGGTGGGTTGCTATGAGGCCTTGCTTGAAGTTCTGAGAACTGACAAGTGAATCCTGGAAGGTAAGCAGAAAGAAGAATAGTAGATAGGAGAGCCAAGGGTGAGTGTTTGCCAAGAGTAAGGCCTCGCCATGGCTTCCCACAGAGGAGCAGAGAATGGAGGCCTTCACTGTGAGAGCCACGTGAGTGGTGAGTGGCTCACCTGCAGGCTGAGTATTTGGATCCTTTCTGAATGGCATTGCTACTGAGAGCACCTTTATGTCTTTGAGGCATCTTCTCATTTCTTTGTTATATGAGTGCCATAGGGACTGAAGAGGTAGCTAGAGGTTTTTCTCTCAGTGTACTCTGGACTAGACTGTTTTCTTATAGTAAGTAAGGAAATCCCAGAAAGGTCCAAATACTAGTTACCAGAGGATTTTACTCTTTTGAAATAACTATTGTAACTAGGAAGAGTTCATGCTAAGTTGGTGGACCTGTTCACAGTAACTTTTGCTTCTAGTTTCTTTGTTGCAGTGCTGTGTTTTTGTCTATGTGTGTGGACTGGGAGATGGCCCAGTGATAAAGCACTTACCACAACAAGCTGGGGAGACTGGGGTTTACACTCCCAGCATCCATATGGCAGCCCACTTGTGATCCAGGTGCATCTAGGCGCAGATGGGGTCCCTCTTGCAAGCTGGCTAGTTAGACAAGCCCAATCATTGGGCTCTGTGCTCAGTGGTGGAGAGTGAGAGTAAGACAACCAGCATCAATCTCTGGCCTGAATGTACAAACATGCATAAACATAAATGCACATCTGAACACACACACACACACACACACACACACGCTCACACACAATTGAACATTCCATGAACATTATCAACAAACCAAGGCAAACTATGTGAAGTCAGTTTATGGCATTCTACGCCAGTCACTGAGAGAGCCTCCCTAGGTAAGGATGGCAGGCTACAGTGAGTGCTAGGGTGAGCACCTCCTTGCTACTTTGCCAGAGGCGGTAGCCATTAACTTTCCCAGTGATGAGTTTTGCTTGATATTTATGGTTTCTCAAAAGCCACTGTAAGTAAAATATTTAGTGTCTTAAAACATACTTAAGGGCATACCTTTTTTTGTAACTGAGGCTATCAGTCTGCAAGTTCTGTCTCCTTGCTCTGTGGCTGTAGAAAATGCAGTACTGTGCATTTGATAATACGTAGGTCATTGTGTAACACCACGGACCTAGGGGATCTCTCTGCTCTACCTGTGACTTGTTTTAAGTTTACTTTAAACAGGGAGGTTAATCAATATCTTCAAAACACAGAACTGAAAAAAACCCAGGCTTTGTGTTCTAGTCTAGTGCTTACACTTGTTGTTCTCTACACCGAGCAAGTGTGTCTGTGCTAGAGAGGGGTCGTTAGGGTGGAGCTTGTTACAGTGTGGCTACCCACACACATACATATGTGAGTGTTGCTATGTGCCATTATCATATAACTATTTATGGATCATTGTTTTAAAAGTCCATCTGTGTCTTATGAGTTTCCTCTTTTATGTGCTAAGTAGATTTATGCTACGCCAGCTTCTGTGTCATACTTTACAGTGCATAATAGAGATGTATTTTTCACATTATTGTTATGGGATCAGGGGGTAGCCTAGTGGTTATACATGCAAGTGTGACTGAGTTTGGATCTCGAGAACGCACATGAAGCAAGATACAGTAGCGGTTCTGTAACCCAACAGCTCTTCTGACAAAAGGGAGGCAGAGCCAAGAGACTCTGAGAAGCTCGCCTGGGGCACACAGTAGTGGCCAGCAAAGAGATATTGTTCCAAACAAGGTCCTCATGCATGCTGTGGCACATATACTTAACAAACACACAAGTACGTTGGTTTTAAGGTGGCTGTAATTAAAAATGGTCATTCTCTTCCGTCCTGCTCCTCCCTGTCTTATTTCCTTTCTTAATATTGTTTCAGTTCTCAAAATTCCTGTGGAGGCCATATGGTAGCTCAATTAATTTAACTCTGGGTGACACTTAATCATCCTCTCACATGCTCATAATTAATTTGAAGAAACTCCCAGTCAGGTGCTGCCTTTATGCTGCTGGCTTCTATCTACAGTTAAGGTTTGCTTGTTCACTTTATTTTTTGTTTGTTAGAAAAGAGGAAATCAACTTACCTTATCATTTTATAGAATAGCATCAATTTATTTTGTTATTCTCACCACTTTTTCCGAGTCTGTTGAGTTTTGCCTCTCTGATCACTCAGTTATCAGCTCGCTGTAATTAACTGCTGAAGTTCAATGAAGAGTGTAATGAGGCTCTGGGAAGCACATTGACCTGAGTTAGAAGCCAGGTGTATGGGTCACCAGCTGTAGGGTCCTGGATGTCTTTCTTCCTCTCTTTGGAATTTACTTTCCTCATTTGAAAAATGAGGATTAGTTAAAGTGTGTGTGTGTGTGTGTGTGTGTGTGTGTTCGATAGATCTTGCCCTATGTCCCTATCTGCACAAGCCCCAAGGCCAGAAGAGAGCATCAAGTATCTTCCTGTATCACCACTCCTCACCCCCAGCCCCCATTCCCCTGAGGCAGAGTCTTTCTCTGAACCTGGATCTCACATTTTATTGGCGAGGATGGAAGCCAGCAAGTCCCAGCACTCCTCCTGTCACTCTCAGAGCTGTGGTTGCAGGCATGCCTGCACACTGGGCTGGCTAGGATCTGAACTCCAGTCCTCATGACTGCACAGCAAGTACTCAACTCCTGAGGTATATCTCTCCAGCCTGTAAACAGATTCTTAATTGAACTATGCTATGTATATCTTAAATCTCTATGTGCATATTTGGGACAAATTTATAGCATTTGCGGGGGTGTCACTGTCATGAAAGAGTTAGAGCACACAGGTCACCTCCTGGCATTTCATAGGTTAGCATAGAAGGCATTATTAGCTGTCACTTTGATATTCTTATCGAAGTGTGTTTGGTAGATTCCTCTCCCAACTTGATGTCCCTCTCCTTCCCTCCGGTCACCTCCCCTCTTGTACCATGATCTCCTTTGCCTTTGTAACTGCTTTTAAATTGAATTGGGTCTACTTTAATTCCTTTGGTCAAACTCAAAAGGCATGTTTCTGCCCAAATTCAGATTTATCGAGCCTCAGTTAGAGTCTAGCAATAAGCAGAATAAAGCATCTTTATGCTGGCAGTGGAGTTGCTTGGTTTGTGCAAAGTATCTCTGAATTTAGCATTGTTGTCCTAATTGCAGAATACCGTGGCCAACTGTAATATTATTAATTTACACATAGAAATTACCATATTTAATCAACAAAGTTAAACTTTTATCAGAAGGTGTTCCTGTCTCAAATATTCCCATGAGAGTACAGTTTGAAATAGAGGCTTTTTCAATAATAGCTACTTTATCTTTCAGGTTGTTCTGGATGTTGGGTGTGGAACGGGAATTCTCTCCATGTTTGCTGCCAAAGCTGGGGCAAAGAAAGTGATTGCAGTTGACCAGTCTGAAATCCTCTATCAGGCTATGGATATCATAAGGTACATGTATATTTAAGGCTAAATTGATAATTAATTTTAAACTTGAAAATTTATATATTTCCTAACTTTTGGCCACTATCTAGTAAAAGATAGTCAAGATATTTGTTTTTTTTTAAAAATCTACCAGCACAATAACATCTTAAGTTGTGTTGAGCTGGTTGTGCTTGAGTTGTGTGCTGAGTTGTCCTGACAGTTGTCCTGGAATCGTTCTTAGGCTATTCTGACCCAGAGCATGCTGATTCTAGCACAAGGTCAGGAGCCGTTAGAGAATGGTGTTAACACAAGATGCCACAGAGGAGACCTGTCAGGTGTGTCTTTTTTGACAAATAGCAGTTAGATTAAACACTAAAGCCTATGTTTTTATTTTCTGACATCAGCCTTCTTCCTTTATGCTAATTCTGGTATGGTTAGAAGCAAGCCGAAGTTGGGCCATTCTGTAGACTGTAAAGGTTTTTATTTTCTATTTGTATGGTGCACAGTTAAACCTCATTGTCATTCTAGGGTTCCTTAGCAGGCATCTCAATTGCTTGTGCAAACAAACATGAGAGTCACCATCCCTTTGAAAAACTGTTCTAAAAAATTTAACAAAAACGCATTGTTGATAGTAAGATTATGGAAAGGCACTTGTGCCAGGAGTTCCCTGGCAAACAACCAGTGTGGAAGACCCTGCTCCTTGAAGAAGAGACCTTGCTTCTTCTCCCCTGATCCAGACCCTCAAATGACTTTTCCTCAACCTTTCTATTCTGCCTCAACTCCAGCATCTTAACACAAAACAAGCTAACCCTGAACCATGACCTCTGAAACAGTGAGCGGAATGAAGCTCTCCTGCAGAGTGGAGCTCTTCACAGAACTGAAACCTGAACACATACACAAGAGTCAGAACAGGAACAATGGTCAGCAGGGGAGCTAGCCAGCAGCTTGACTCTACAGAACTGGACTACCTATGCTTTCAATTGAATTTTGTATTTTATTGAAACAGTGGTAAAGTTTGTTCAAGTTCCCAAGGGTATAAGAAGCATGCTTGCCTGTGATCAAGTTCACATCCATTGTATCTGAACTTCAAAACTCAAGGTTAAAGCTTAGAAAAAGTTTTAATTTTTTTTTTTTTACTTTTTTTTAAAAATTTAGGTGTGCGATTGTTTACCTCTGTGTGTGTGTGTGTGTGTGTGTGTGTGTGTGTGTGTGTATGTGTGTGTATGCCAGAATAGAACTGTAGTTAGGGACAGTTACAAGATACCATGTGGATGCTAGAAACTGAACCTATATCCTTACCTGCCGAGCCATCATTCCTACCCTAATTTTTGTGTATATGTTCAGGTTTTAGTTCTGTGACGAGCTCCATTCTGCAGGAGAGTTTAATTCAGATTGGTATTTCAGAGGTTGTGGCTCAGGGTCCACTGAATTTGTGTTACTGTGCTGGAGTTGAGGCAGAATACTGTGGAGGAAAACTCACTTGATGGTATGTGTCAGGGGAGGCCAGGGGGCAAGGCCTCTTTTTCAAAGTGTGACCTATTTCTTCCAGTTAGTCCGTGTTTCTTAGTTCTATGTTTTTGTGACATTGTGACATGGATTTACCCGTTGATGAATGCTATGCCTTCATTACCACAGCATTTTCCCAAAGCTCCACCAGCTGGGAACACAGCCTTAGCACCATAGCAGAAGGTCTGTGATGGATGCATGGTAGCAGTTATTTTTTTGGTCTCTTTCCCTTTGTGATCATCTCAACCTTTGCCCTGTCACTTATGTAGAGTAGCAGTGATGTCTCAAGGGACAGGCAGTGGAGTGTAGAGTGTGGTGACCCTGTGCGAGCCACACTTCTCTATGAGAGGAGAGGTAGGTGGACATCCAGGACAAGGGAGTAACGTCCTACCGCAGTTCTTAGTGCTGTGTCAGGCCACTGCCTCTAGTTGCTTCTTGAATAAAAACCTTGTCACTGTGTAGGTTTTTTTACAGATGGAGATTGTCAGAGGCAATAGTTGTATCACAGTGCTGATGCTTGTGAAGCCTTGTCTCACTGTGCTAGGTGGCCTTGCTTAAGTTACATTGTTTTGCTAGTTCTTATTACTGCCACAGAGAGGAAAAGCAGGCATGTTTTGTAAAAGCTTGCGTTTTTGCTTTCTTGAACCTATCAGCTGTACAGTCTAATCCTGTTTCAGCTATACATGACATGGATTACCACACCCAGCAGCAGGAGGTCTGCCTATCACAGCCCTGTTGTTATATATTCTGTTCCTTTGTTTTTGTGGGAGAATTCTAACATAATCTAATACACTGAATTGGTAAATGAATTATCAATTATGTGTTTGAATGTTCGTTCAAATTAGTAATAATAGCTTGCAATGCTCAAGCCGTAAGTTCTCCCACTTAACAATAAAAACTTGCAAACATTTCCTTAGTCTTTCTGTTGAGTTTAGAATGAGGAATACTTTAGTTGTGTAATTTAATTGTGTTAAAGTCTAAAATAGTCCAACCAGCCATTCTGAGGCTTCTGATATGAAAAATGTCCTTAGGGATTTAGGGGTGTTGGTGATGACAAGAAAAACTAAAACATACAGGAAAAAGTTCTCTTTCCTGCTATTCCGTTTTTAACTATGCAGAGAGTAATCATTTCAGAAACATAAACTTAGCTGAGGATAGACAGCTGTTTAGCTGCCAGACAGTTACATACTGTGTTCACGCTCAGGTCTCCGCTGGATGTATTTTGCCATTTCTCTGGTTTCTGCCCAACTCAGCCATGGAAGTCTCATCATTTAGACTTTTTGGCAAAGCTGGAGAGTTTTCATGAGAAAGATGATCTATTTCACATTCACAGAGCTGCTTCTGTCTAGGATATTAACAAGATAAAAAAAAGCCCTAGTGAGTCAGGATAACCCAGCACTCAAGCACCTGCCTAGCATATGTGAGGCCTGGCTTTGACTTCCACACCACAAACAGAATAAAAACAAAACTCAAGGGCTATTTTGACCTGCTCTCATGTTCATATAAGTGTCCTCTAGACTAGGTCAAGAGTGCTCTGATCTTTTCATCCCTAACACCTGCAATGCAGATTGATGATGGACAGTTAGCAAAGGCTTTGAATAGAACTGATGAAAGCGCCCTGAAATGCCAGCTCCCCCTGGTTTGGCAGGGATACGAGTGCTCCTGTGAACACCTGCCTGGTGAGTGAGTAGATTAATGAATTTTCAACACCTAGGACATCACATGTTCGAAGTCAGTTAAGTTGCCCTCCTAGGGGGCCTAGAGACCCTTATCTGCTTGAATCTGATGATTCTTTTCACCACTGTTTTTATTTACCTTATTAGTCCACAGCTACCTGCAGATGAATTCACTGGGATTGGGGAGCTCATGCAGTAGCCTTGTTCTGAGCTGTGTATCTCCCTTTTCCTCCCTCTTTTATCTACCATATAGTATTTGTTTTTAATTGGTTATGTGTCTGTGACTGAGGAAACTGGTGTGTGGGGGTGTGTGTGGGGTGTGGTCTGGGATCTAGGGTGGAGAAGGAGTCCTGGTCAGGGCATCATTCTTGTAGTCTGGGTTCAGCCCCTTTGGCACTCCTACCCTGTGCACCTCTGGACTCCCCTCTGGGCTTTTTGTTATGAAGAATTGCTTTATTCAGTGTGCTGTGCACTTCAGTGCTGGGTCTCGTATGAACTGGTTTGCTGATCTGATTTGCTCTTTATTCTCTCCCACCAAGTTACCAGAATCTTTGGTCTGATACCTCTTATAATATCTTCGCTTTTATATTACAGTTTTAATTTGTTATCATTTCAATATGTTCGGACAACAAAAGATGAAGAAATATGTGGTTTGAACACTGAATTAAAAGCCCAAGAGTGCTGTACCTATTAGAGTATTCTCACACCATCACTTTCAGCTTTTGTTGACATACCTGTGTTCTTTTCTGTAATTTCTAGGATATCTGTCACCACTTTTAAATATTACTCACAGTCTTGATTGTGAATTCCTACTATGTTCTGTGCTCTCTACCTGTGTATTTTTCTATGTTTCTTAAAATGTTAACTGTGTCTGTATATCTAAATCACTGGGCAAAACTGGATTGCAAACTTAACTGTGTGCTATTTATTCTAAAGATACACAAATGGTTCTTCCTTGTCATTAAGGAAATCTGACTCCATTAACCTCACCTTTCAGCTCCCTGAATGAGCTTTGATATAGTACTCTACCAACTCTTTTCTCCCCAACACACTGGAAGTTGAATGAATATGGGGGCTTCTACTAGAGCCAGCTCCACCATGGAGATCCCATGGCACCCTGTGCTGCTCACTGTCCTCCTCTCCCTCTGATTGACTTCCTAAGGGCACTGATGTATGCAGCCCTCTTACCACCCCTCCTCTCGTATCTCAATAAAATAGAAGAGACTGCTGCTTTGAAGACAGGCAATAAATGGGGTCTCACTGTAGTGTAGTTTCTACACTGAAACAAACTGGTAATTCACTGCTTATTGGGTTAGTTAAAGACCTGCTTAAAGGGCTTATTACAGGGAAATATTTCCACAGATTGAAGCTTTGGTAGCTGGACAACAGATTTTGCTAAAGACATTGCTTCATTTAGAATGCTTTTATGCTAAAGTAAGACTGGGTACACTTGGGGTGACTAAATTCAGTCTGTAGGTCTTCCCTGAATAGAAAGACAGCTCATGCTGAAAAATGTGTGGAGCAGCCTAAACCCATGTTCCTGGGTGGGAATGATGGGCCTGTCTCTTCTGTGTATCCTCGAATCATGTTCTCCTCTCTATAACCATGCAGGCGATTGCTAATGTTAGCAGCAAAATCATAAGTTGGCCGAGCAGATAGCTATTCTCAGAGCAAACCTTGTCTCTACACAGCCTTTCCAAGATGGTCTGTGTGGGTAGGTGGGGTTCTGCTCCTTTAAGAAGCATGAAGTATTTATAGCTACTAAAGCCTTAGTATTTTAGAAAGTAGAAAACAGCTATAGTAATTTTTAAGTATTCCTTTGAAAAACTAAATACAAAGCAAATTTTCCTTTTTCTGTTTTTGTATGAAATACTGCATAGATATAAACAAATACAGAAGCGTAAGTGAGCAATAAAACGCATAAGTATTCATAATCATGGAGGAAAAATAACATAGTAGTAGCCATGACTAGGAAGAGAGCCTAACCATCACCTGCTCTTCAGAAGCCTCCTCATCCTCGGCCTTTCCCCTGTCAGACAGGCTGCCATGATTGCTCAGCTACGCATGTGTCTATGGGATATAAACCTATGAGCAGAATGAGTCGTCAGGATAGAGCTACCAGCTGACTTCCTAAGTGCTTGCTTGGCCGTCTTCCAAAGTGGTTATGCTGGTCTGCTTTGGTTCAGTCACACATAACAGTTCTCATTTGAAGTATCTGCAGGGTTTATTAGTAAGCCTTTGTAGGGGCCCATGTAATCACCTTGCTCCCTTTTTTCCCCCCAAACCATCTAAACAAACCCTCTTGGTAAGCTAGTTATTGCTTTGTGTGTCCTATCTTTCTTCTCTATTTTATTTTTTTAAAGATAGCCATGACATTACAGTCCGATTTCACTGTAGGTGAGCCTCCAGAGAACCCAACTTATAAATGGGAAGACTTCTTATTCCCCTACCTGCCTATGTAGGCCTGCTTTTTGAAAGAAGCCAGGCAGGAAAGCATGTGCTTCATGTGATTCCCTTAGTATGAATCTGTAGACTAAAAATCTCATAAGAAGTGAGAGAAAAGACTACCAGAAGTTCAAGGCCCTGTCTCAAGAGATGGGGAGGGAGGCAGACAGATGGACAGGTGGACGGATAGACAGGGGGGGGGGGAGAGGGGGAGAGAGAGAGAGACAGAGACAGAGACAGAGACAGACTGACTTTCTGAGAATTCACAATCACAATCAGTCTTTCATGTATTCTTGGTTATGGTCACCCAAGTATAAGTGTTTCAACAAAATATACTTTAAAATGAGTGCTTTAGTGTAACAGTAATGCCCTGATGATGTTAGGGCTCTCTTCTTTATGCAGGAAAAACTCCCATGTAATTAAAATGTATGCTCTCTAATTGAGAACTTGGCTTAATTAGATAGCATCTTAATCTTCAGCCTGATTCCCAAGATGGTCATTTTAATTCTGTCATCTTAAATTGCAGAAAAGGGGGGTTGAAAAATACATGGTTATCATCAAGCATATAGTAGGGCAAGGTTATTAAAAAGTTTTCTTTTTCTTCTGGTGGCTTTGTTTTCTATTTGGTTGGTTGATTTTGTTTGTTTGGTGTTTGTAATCCAAGTCCCTCTTGAACTTGTAGCCATCCTCCTGTCTCATCCTCTTGAGTGCTCTGATAACAAACACATCACCGTGCCGGGTCTAAAAATAGTTTATGATTGAGATAGATCCTCAGCCTCTCTGTACCATAATGACTTTGCTGTTCTGTGCCATCTGTGTTTGAGATGTGTCTACGGTGTTCACAAGTGTGTGACTCCCCAGCAGCATGTATAGTGAGCAGGCCAGGTGCTAGTGTTGTCTCTTACCATAATTACAGTAGCCCAGAGAGGTTCTCAAGTTTGGTGAATGTATGCAGCCGCAGAGAAGGTCTTGGTGCTCTGGCTCTGGCCTCCAGCTCCCTAACTGCTGTCGCTCCTGAATTCTGGGGAATCCTGCCTCTGTTGTCATTGCTGCTCTGTTTCCACTCTTTCTCTTTGGTTTTCAAGATATGTTAACTACATAAAGGCATGTATTCTTCATAAATGCAGATTTCTTTTCAGGCTTAAGTCCTTGTTACAGTTAACTCACTGTTATTGCCTTGCTAATCAGAGATGTTTTGGAGCACTCATCAACCAACACAACAGGAAAAGGGACTTTAAACAGGCACTTTGTTCAACTAACACCATGTATATTCTGGAAAAAAAAATATGTCATTTAACCAGCTTTCAGTCTGTTTAACAAACTAGCTCATAGGATCAGCAAGAACCTTCTGAATAGAATTTTAGTGGTGCAGGAGCTAGTCCCTGATGTCAACAGATGGGAACACATGAAATTAAGAAGCTTTGCATAGCAAACTATCAGCAGAGCACACAGACTGGGAGACCAGCTTTGCTAGCTATGTGTCAGTCACATAAGGCTAACGCCTAGAATTTACAAAGAAATGCAGAAACTAAACACCAAAACAGTAAAACTGTCAGCCATCAAATGGGCTAATGAAATAAACAATTCTCAAAAGAAGAAACACAACTGGCCAATGATTACTTTAAAAAGTGTTCAACATCTCCCCAGGCATTAGAGAAATGCAAACTAAATCTACACTTCTCCACCGCTCACCCTAGTGAGGCTAGCTGTCCTCAAGAAATCTGACAACAAATATTGGAGAGGATGTGGGGAAAGAGAAGACCTTATTCATTGCTGGTGGGCATGCAGATTAGTATAGACATTAAGAATGTCAGTTTGGAGGGAGCGTCAAAAACCTAAAGCTAGAACTACTGTGTAACCAGCCATTCAACCCCAGGCACTTACCTACTGTAGTGATGTTTACACACCCATGTTCAGTACTGCTCTGGACATCTGCTTGCAACAAAATGGAACCAACACAGATGCCCACCAGCAGATGAATGGAGAATAAAATGGGGTATACATGCAAAGTAGAATATTACTCAGCTGTAAAGAAAAAGGAAATTTACAGGAAAATGGATGGCAAGTGTAATAATAAACAAGGTGATACAAACTCAGAAAAAAATCCTCCTGTTTTCTCCTTGCAGACTCTAGCCTGTAATGTGTAGTGTATATGTGTAAACAGGTAGACGTGTGGGGATGGTACTGTGTAGAAAGGAGACCAAGAGAGCCTTATGTTAAGTGGTGAAGAAAGAATTCGGGCAGAAGGACGTGAGCTGTGGGAAAGGACAGCAAGCTAACCCCCTCCCCAGTATCAACTCCATCATAGCTGCTTTTTCTTTCTTTCTGTGGTATAAGTACATAAAATTTAACTGATAGTGAATGTGTGAGCCACTGAATGGCTCCCTGGCATCTGAATGGCCATTCTAACTGTGCAGAAGTTCCCAGAGGTGTATAAAGTTTGCAAGTGGGCAGTGTTGGAGTGGCCACACTAATCCAGCTGTGCAGCGTCTCATTTGTGAGTTAAGTAAAATACAGTGATGTTTCTTTATACAATTTGTAAAACACTTAACAGGCTAATATAATTCATTATAACTTTCAGACTAAATAAACTTGAAGATACCATTGTACTAATTAAAGGAAAGATCGAAGAAGTGAGTCTTCCTGTGGAAAAGGTGGATGTTATTATATCAGAGTGGATGGTAAGTAAAGTAAGAAAAAATTTTTTAAACAAACATGTTAGCAGTTTTTACTCATATTTGATTGAGTGATTATGGTAGCACCTTTGGTGGTGGCTGATTTCAAATAGTGCTAACTTTGTGGCCTCTGCTGGGGTAACAGACGCGTTCTTCTGTTATGTAGCTTTGCAGGGTTAACTCTGAGGATTACCCAGAATGCTCTGAGCTGGGCTATCCAAGTATCTCCATCCTGTTCACTGTCCTCTCCTGTGTTATACTGCTTTATAGATTATGTTAAAGCCTTGAGTCAAGGCAAGATATTTACATATATGATTAAATGATGGCAATTACCAATGGATAGGGATTATTGATATGCATAGATGAAATCTGAAAAGTGACAGATTTCCTGTGTGGAAAATTGAAGGTATTTTAAAAGGTCTGTTTGATATTACATGATACTATATTATCATGTGATAATTTTATCAAAACAATTTCAAACAGCTTAAGTTATAAATTTTCTATAATTCTTCTATAAGCATAATGACAGTCCAGCAAAATAGTAACTTTGGAAGCTTTTGAAGTGTTGGGATTTAATAGTCAGTGTCATCTGGGCGTGGATAGGCTTGTGGCCTGGTGTGTCATTCCAGGGGGCAGGCCCTGCAGCCCTCTGGTCTCACTCAAGTTGTTGCATGTTGAGCTTTGTTCTCAGCTGGCCTGCTAGTGACACCCCTGCAGCTGGCACTGTGAGGATGGGTGCTCTTCTCTGCTCTCTGCTTTAGGGGATAGAACTCATATGCATTATCATTGAAATTTTTAAGTAATAATAAAAAAATTATGATTGTTAAGCACACTCATTTATTTACACATACTTTGTTTTCTGAAGTAAGTAATCTCACGTGGCTTAGCTGGTGGCTCAAGATGAGGATAGATAAGACCTATCACCTGCTGCTGTTTTTCTTTACATTTCTTTCTTCTCTGTGGCTTCATTTGTGGAAGTGTTTTACCTTGGCTGTTTGCTAAGTGCCTCTACTTTGCTGTCAGCTCCTTAAAGACACATGCTGTCTGTTCCTGCATACCCTTTTCTCCATTTTGTTTTATTCTGTTTTTATAAATTTTTATTGTAATTATATAATTACATCATTTTCCCCTTCTTTTACCTCTCCAACCTGTCCCAATTGTGTGTACCTCTGTGTGGGTGTGTATGGTTGTGTGTGTGGGTCTGTGCTAGATACATACATGTGCTCAGTCCACTTAATGTTACTCGTGTGTGTTTTCAGGGCTGAAACATGGTTTGCTTTTGTACTGTAGTTGAGCCTTCTGTCATAGCCATCACGGCTTCTGTTGTTATTAAACCTCTTTTCTCCAGAGGATGAACCACAACTCACACAGTACCAGCAGATTCCATCATGTCTCAGTGTAAATAAATGATGATGGGCTCTCCTTATAGGAGAGCTTGTCCTGACAGAAATTCACTGGCCCCGACACAGTCGTATTTGTGATTTTCCTGTTTAAGTGCGAAGGCGGATAGTGCGTGGCAGGTTGAGGGTGTCACTGGGAGTCAGCCTGCCTGAGTGCTTAGCCTCTTTCATTACCTCTGGGGCATGTCATGGAGCTTCTCAGTGCCTTGGTTTCCTGTGCTGTAAAATGAGGAAACAGCAGTACTCACTTCATGGGCGTCAGCGAGGATCAGATGACCGACTGCTTGTGGATGTCTCAAGATGGCTCTGGAAACAGCTGTTCGGTTTCGGACAGTAACACATTGAGTGAATGAGTCCCTAAACTGGGTTGTGAAGCATGGGATGGCTGAGTAACTGTCCAGATGGCTCTAATGGACAGCAGGCCCTGCAGAGACTGTGCCAGGATTCATCCTGTTATTCCTTTCAGACGTGACATTCAAGTCATCCCAGGTTTGTCTGTTATTACCAACCCCTTTCAGTTCTGGAGAGCAGCTGTGACCTTGATGCCCTGGATGATGAGGACATCATCCTCACACATCATACCTGCACAGTGCTCTTCCCTTCATGGCTGATATGTCATCTTGTAGATGTTATGGTGGGATTTTAGTGTTTGTTTCTCAGTCACTATTCACTGTTCTAGCAAATCTATATTTCAGAATGTTGGTGCCAACTGTCCTTTGACAGTGGCCTCTCCATGCTTCACTTTTCAATCATCTCTTAACATGAACACACTCACAAGTTCTCTTTCATGTGCCCTTGAGCCCTATATACCTGATTGATGGCTGTGAACATCTGCTTCTTTCCTTAGCTGCTGGGCACTTTGTTGGGTCATATTGTCTCCCACAGAACCTTTTCAGTGGCTTGGAGAGAACTGGTTCCAGTCCAGATTATTTCTCCTGCAGATACTGTTTTCATGTAAGTAGCTCATAGATTATGTATTTGAAAATGTCCAGTCTCCTTGGAGGCCATGTTTTTTTGGGCTGTAGTTGTCGATCATCTTAGGCCATGTCTTCAATGCACCTGCCCTGTCATAGCCTCTTCTTAGGACCCTACATGGTGAGTGTTTTGTTGTTGTTGTTGTTGTTATTGTTGTTGTTGTTGTTTTCAGTCTCTAGTCCTTGCTCTGGGTTACATTTTCCTCCAAGTCCTTCCTAATTGCTGCTGCCTTTGTCTTATGTAGTGATTGCTAAATCTTTGCTTGATTCACTTCCCTGGTTTTCAAGCCTGTTCAGCATCTCATCTTGTTGCTTTACCTTCTGTCCTTGAATTCTATTCCTGTTTCCTGATGAGTAATGCTCATGTGTTCCATAAGTCATGTTCCTTACCAGGCTGGAGTCTGTATCTTTTTACACCCTACCCTCTCACATTTATTGTGTAGAATGACAGGAGGGAACTGCCATTGAGTGTTGAGTAGCTGCTGTGCCTTGCTTTGTTTTGTTGGTTTTGTTTATCTACTTCTGCATAGGTGTGGACTCTGCCAACTGCTCTAACTGATGAGGGGGTGACTTCCTGACCGAATTTTCCTTCCTGAATCATCTCTCCAAGAAGCAGTGTGAGGGTGGTGTATTTCTAAGTCAAAGACACTCAAGGCTCATCTCTCTTTCCTTTCTGAAAGGTCTTTTAAGTTTTGATGCCATCCAAGAATTTGAAAGATTTACCTAGGATTGACATTCAGAGAATGTTGGGTTACGTAGAGGTAGATAACAAATGGCTGTTAAGGGCCTGATACTGCCAAAGCTAATTTGGCTCTGGACTTGCAGCATTCTCACTGCCCACATTCTTGGAGTTCAGTCAGTCTGCCTTTGTAGGTACAGTTTCTTGGGAATGTTCATGCACACAGTGGAACAAAGCCCCTTGTCAACTTGAAACACAGGAAGTACACAAGGAATTTACCTTATTGACTTTGGCAGGATTATAGATTACTGGCTTTGGCTCAGTTCTTTGAGCCACATCAAGCATTAAATTGGGGCTTTGCATTTCCCTGAGGCTGATTTGTGCTTGAAAGTCCTTCAAAGTGGGTGGAGTGGGGAGGAAGTGTTTGACCACATGGTACCAAGCTGTTTGGGAGAGTACTAAATTCACTGTGTGTCTGGCCTTGTTATATGGACAGTTTCTTGGAGTGCACCTCACTGAGCTGCACCCCAGGCTTCTTTACCAGGTTTAGCAAATGCCTTTAGGATAGATGCTTATTGATGCATCTAACAAGATGGACTTTTCTTATTGTATATTTGTTGTATTTGGAAAATTGTGGTCTTATTCTTTTAACTGTCTAATCATACTGCTTGCTAGTTAACATTTTTCTATAGCCTTAAAATCCTCTGTGTGTGTGTGTGTGTGTGTGTGTGTGTGTGTGTGTGTATCTGTTATGGAATCTAGTATGTTTATGGTACTTGAGGCTAAGTAATTTATAGATAGAGACAAAATTTTCTAAAAATTTACAGTTTTCCCAGCTGGAAGTCCAAGATCAAGGATTTGATAGGTTCTGTGTCTGGCCATGGTCTGGTGTCTGCTGCCAAGAATAGTAACTTGTTGCTGTGTGTGCTCTAGAGGGGCAGACACTGTCTTCACTTAGACAAGAGTAGAAGGGGGGCAAGCCCACCATCTCATGTGTGACAGGCTTCCTCCTCATGGATCAGTTACTTTGTAACAATCTCCAGTTCTATGTTTTTGAGAAAAGGTCTTCTGGTAATGTATAGCCCTGGCTGGCCCTGAACTCATGAACTCACTGTACACATGCTTTAGCCCCTGCGTGCTGGGATTGTAGGCATGCTCCATCATGTCTAGCTTCCCTTCCATCTCCTGTATAGTCAATTAAATTTTAGTTAGCATACAAAATAAAGGACTTCTTATAACATTTTCACATATGTATATCACTGTATATGGCTCTAATCTCCTGTGGCCTGCCTTCCTGCTGGTCCTTTCTTCGTCTGTGTGGCTCCCTTTTGCCGTCCTGTCATTTATATAATATGTAAGTATGTGTGTAATTTAGATTGACTTCATGTGAGAGAAAACATAATAGTCCTTCTTCTTGTTACCCTTATTTTCCCTTCTGTCAGCTTCTTCCTCTATAGTCCCATCAATTTTCTTGTCCTATGTATGAATGTTTTAAATACAAAGTTTGCATATGAGAGAAAAATACATTTGCCCTTCTTGTACTTCATATCAGTACACTGTTGGTTTATCTTTAATATATGAATTTGGGGAGACACACTGGGATCTTTGCATACTCTGCTAGGTTTCTCTAATATGTTTGTCTTTATTAAAGGTGCCAGCTTATACTTTGGTTGTTCTTATTAAGTGTGGCCTACTTGGTTATAATTAATCATCCCCCTGAATTTGATGTGGGGACTTTTGCTTTAGATTTACATTACATCCTTAAGCCTGAGAACTGAATCTGGGGTAAAGGTACATGTGTTCTGAGATCTTGAGATGCTGCTACTTCTTTTTATAGTTTTCTAAAATACTGCCACAGTGTAAGGGGAAGGGTATTATACTGATCAGGTCAGAGTGCCATCTAGTGGGAGGAAGATTTTTAAACTTTAGAGTTTTAGAGTTTAGAAGAGCCAA